AGTGCATGGGCTGGATTTTAGCTGGCACCAGTGACTTCGTAGAAAGATCTACAGATGAGGAGTCTTTGGGTATGTTCAAATTATGAAGACTAAGAAGCAAGATAGATCAGGCCACTGTTCATCAGAATGAATAACAAAATCACTAGGCAAGCCTTTGGTGGTGCTAGTGGTAAAGAACCCACCTGCCAATACAAGAGACATCAGAGAAGTGGGTTTAATCCCTGGATCGGGAAGATCCCCTGGAGGAAGGCATGTCAACTCACTCCAGTATCTTGCCTGGAAAATCCCATGGACAGAGGAGCCTGCTGGGCTACAGACCATGGGGTCACAAGAGTCAGACATGACTGAAATGACCTAATACACACACAGTTAGATGCTTTGCTATCTCTTGCTGCTTCCCACTGCTTAGACAGAAACACCTTCCATTGAGAGTACAGTGCTGGTGTTTTGCAAAGGAGAAAGTTTGCAAAGGGCAATAATCTGTGTGCACATGGAGCTCATTGAGGTCCATATGCCAGAAGAAAAGAGTTATACACTAACCACTTAGCGTAGAGCTAGTGCTCTGCTCACAGAACAAAGAAAGATGACAGAGTCCCAGAGGATTTAGAGCCCCTGGGTGATCCCAAGAGATGCCGAGGTATGGGTCAGGAAGGAAAATAATCTCCAAATGGCAGTAGCTGGTCAGTGACAAGGTCAAAGTGCTGGATTTAGATGCCTCACATAGAGGACCTAGCCTTGCCCTTGAGTACTAGAGAGTCCTGTTTCCAGAGGCAGGAGTGGCCAATGTGAAGGGACAGCTGCTTCCTCACTTCCATGGGGCTTTCGAATTTTTAAAGTGCTTTCACACTTTTTATTTCATTTGTCACTTTACAGTCCTGTTTCACAGTTGAGAAATGGATTGCCTGAGGTTTGACTAGTTTGACTCATTTGAGTAATAATAGCAAAACTAATTCATAAACAACTGATAAATTTTGATTTCGAGTTCAGGGCTTTCTGCATTATATTAAGCTCCCTTCTACCTCTTAGAAGGTAGTTCTAAGTAGTTCTACTTCGTTCCAAGCCATTAACCTCTGTAAAGTCAGAGTGGTGGCTTGGTATGGATCTCTCCTCCTCCCACGGATCCTCTGTCTCTGCCTGGAAACAGACAAAACCTGGTGGACCAGATGGAGAAAGCATTCCTGACCTTGTCCATCTTGCTGTTTCATCTGTATCTTTTTCTTCCCATGAACCCTCACAGGCCCTATACTGATGAAGGATACTAGGATAGACAGCTCAATATTTGAGCTCATGAACTACTGGTTTCTTTTGCTGTTTCCTTCTTTGGTTAAAACCCTCCATTGGTTCCTATGTGAAAAGGCATTGTAACATCATAAATCGTAACACCGTAAATAAAAGCCTAGGTTTCAGAGTCAGGTGTTAAATAAACTTAGTGTTATTAATTATTAACCCACCTTTGCTCTCTGAACTTCTACTTACTCATCTGTAAGTAGAAATTAAAAATAACTATTTTGGTCTTGTGAGAATTAAGTAAGGTAAAATATATTGTGTCCAGTATAGTGCCAAATACTTTGTATTATATTAGTTAGGAGTTATTATTGACTACGTAATAATAGGCCAGACACTTTAGCAAGGCTCAAGGCTTTTCACAGCATAACCCATCGGCCCCCTTACATTCCAGTACCCTGTCCATTCCCCTAATGCAAGAGATTCCTTAAAATCCCATTACTGTTCCCTGCTGGGCTCAGGGGAGGGCAGAGGACCATTCCACTTAAAAGAGGGAGGGGCTCTTCAGAACCTGGTGTCCTGGCTCTCTCTCCCACCCCCAAGCACCCTCCTATGAAAGAAGAGTCAGTTCCTAGCAGAAATCAATTTAAGTCCTTTGAGAAAGTATGGGGGGGGGGGGGGGTGCGCGGGGCGGTGAAGCTGAAAAGCAAGATTACGGTGAATGATGAGTGATTACACATGGAAAATCTGGAGGGCAGCTTGACAGTTGAGCTGGAAAATTCTCATCTTTTACTGATGAGACAAAAGAGAAACGTGGCAGTTATTTTCTGGAGAGCAGCCAAGAACTTAACAAATAAGTAGGAAATATAGTAAATGGGGAAATGGGGAGCCCAACTGAGCCCCTATTAAAGTGGAGCCGGTACGTCCTCACATATGAAATTATCCTCAGATTAGAGTCAATTTTTAAAACTGAGAAAATTTCACTAATTAGCTAGGCAGTGTAAAAAAAAAATTCTGATTATGCATCTAGTAGCAAAGACTAGCAAAGTGTTATCAAATGATTATATTTAGATGATCTGTAAAAAACTCATGAATTTTTTTCTAAAACAATGTGCCTCAGTTGAAGTACTTGAAGAAGTTGTCCTCTTAGTTTGATAAAACCGTCCCTTGCAATCTTGTTGACTTGGATAATGGCTTAAATGATTCTTCTATGCAGGGATTTGGGAGAGGCCGTTTGGCCTGGCCCATGTGTAAATTGACACTTTTCCTGACTTTGTGGCTTCATTAGCAAGTATCCCTTTCATTCAATGAAAATTTTCAAACTATTCTGGAGTGTATCTTAACAAAACTGAGAACACAAGCGTGCTTTTTCACAGCCACTCAAGAGCATAGCTTTTCAGTGGCTCCTCTGCAGTGAGAGACCTGTGTGAAAGATGTGCAGAGCAATGACTAATCTTCATTTTACTTTTGCTTGTGTCTAGTTACTAGCCCTGGCTCCACTTTGTGGGAGTCAGAATGGGACAAATAGTCCTCCAGCCAGGACTTGGGCAGTCACAGTCAGCTGTTAAGATCAGAGTGCACCGTCGAAGAATTCCACTTCCCAAAACAAGGGACAAACAAGCACGCTGGTCAGCGAGCCCCTCTGTTCCATAGCACGATATTTTACTAAGATCTTGGGACAGTATTAGTTGTAGACAGCAAATTCTGCCCTTTATCTGAGTGTGCGAGAGGAACAAAAATTATTGAACCTTCCTTCATATGATGGGTATCTGTGAGAATGAGCCCGTTTAGACTCTACGGGATCTAAAGTTCTTGGGGTTAAAGTCCTGAGCTAAGAGGAAGATGAAAGCCTGGACCACTTGCCCATCCATTGATCCCACTCTTCTCTCATTTCAGGGATATGGGAGATTCTCCTTTAGCTTTTCCTCAAGATGCATGCAGCCTAGCAAAGAGATGGTGACCCATGTAGTTGTTTTGGTAGAATTTTCAATCAAATGATTCTATTTTCCCCACAGCATTTAGCTTGCAGTTTTACCTTCATTTGCTTGCTTGTTTATTTGAGACTTGTCTTCCTTCCTAGATTAGGTGAACTCCAAGAGGGTAGGGACCTCATTTGTTTTGTTCACAACTGTGTAGCCAGTACTTAGGATACTGCCAGATGTTTGTTAAGGACTCCATCAGTGCTGTCATATGAGTGGATAGAGGTATATTTGGCTGACCTACCACATGTCCAGTCTCATGCATGAGAAGACACTTACAACTCAGGAGAAGACATTACCTCTGCCTTCTGAGAATTTGGAGATTATCACGTGAGAGATATAGGTTTATAAGGCCTTGAGGTTTAATTCTCAAACAACCATTCATTTGACATTTACAGTGAAAAGTAATATACTTTCCAATATGGGGCCATTCCCTGAATAAAATTGTCACTAGAAGTCTTTGCTTGTGGCATATGGTGGTGTAACATAGGTTTATGTTACATAAAAAAAATTAAAGGTCGAAAAAGTACCCTTCAGAGCAAACTGTCAACCAAGAAGCAAAGGCTGAATTCTAGGCACTTCTCCATAGCAGCAGGCCTGTTCACCCGTGGCGCTGGGGCTTACTCACTGAGATCTTATGCAAGGCACATCTTCCCCAGGCTGCAGTTTTGTTTGCAGTTAAGAGGATTTTAGGGATCTCTTCCAGCTCTAGAATTTGGTGAGCCATTTGACAGAGCCTGGAACTGAAACCTGCTGGCGCAGAAGCTAGTGGTGCAGAGCAAGAACTCTGAACATCATGCAGACTTGGGTTCAAGTCCTAGCTCACCCTGCCAGTGCTGGGCACTCAACCTCTCAGCATCTCATCTGTGAAACAGAGACGATAATACCTTTGTGCTAAAGTGATTAGGATGTCCAAATAAAGAGTTGCACTGAAAGTGCTTAACACTGAGTCTGGCCAAGAATAAATATTAAAGTTAGTCCTCATATCTCATATGTTTTATATTCATGCTCTTCATCTTTATTTGTGTCATTGTTAAACCCCACCCCTAGAGCAGGGGTGATTTGTCTTCCAGCTGCATAGTAAATAGCTCACAAAGGACAGGTGGTCATTTAATTTATCAAAAGGCATCTCTGTGTGTGACATCAGGACCTTGATAGACAGTACCTTCCCCTATAATTCAAGGTGGATTTGTGATGTGGCCCTTCTGTGCTTTTGAGAGATGTCACAGTAGCCTTCTCCTAGACATTGCCTGTCCCTCTCCAAATGAAATCCTTCATAAACATAAATATGCCATGATGCCTTGAAACACCTTTCCCAAGACATAGTTTCTGGCCCAGAGTAGGCATTTTTCCTCTGGTCTGACATCTTATACATTCACTGGAAACAGAGTTTGACTGAAGACTACTAAGGAAGAGGAAGTGAAAGCCTACATTTAGAAAACTTCAGTTCAGCAAGGCTCCATGGAATAACGTACAACTTGGGGAATGCCATCTAGTTAGAGGCAGCGTCACTAATGCCTGCAGAGGGTCTTGGCCTTCCCAGGGTAGAAGGGTGGGTCTGGAGCCACGGTGAGCCGGCCCTTCCTTCCACCACCACGGTGAGCTGGCCCTTCCTTCCACAAAGCGTGTGGACTCTGCAAGTGCCAAGGCTGTAAGCGGGATCACCCGGGTCTGGACTGCTCCAATTTCCCATCACCCTAAATTCTCCTTTCTCCCTGAAGTTTACTGACTGTCTCCCTTCTCTCCATCCCCTCCCCTCTTTTTTTTTTAACTGCTTTCTGCTTGGATCCTCCATAGGAATGCTTTGGGGTAAATATTTTTTTCTTCAGTTTTCTTTGAAGTGAAAAAATACAGGGAGTGGGGTGGAGGAGGGAGAATGTGTGATTGGGAGGTAAGGAGCTGACTCACTGAGAAAGCAGTGGTGAGTTTATGTGAGTGGTGTGTTTTCATTGACATCTAAGAAAACCAAAACTGGGAGTCACCAAGCTTTCTTGGGAAATAACCATTCTTACTGGTTTGGATGTGTATTTGGGCTTATATGTTGCCTTCTTAGATAGGTAGATAGACCAACCTAACAACGTAAAAGAATTTATAAAATAGACAAAGTCTATAGATGCAAAAGGCCATTGATATCAATGCGATACTTTTGAGTTATCTACATTCAAATCTACAGTTGAGTAAAAGTGATTTATAGGTCATGGATTATAACCATTTAAGAGGGTCTCAAAATATACATTCTAGCCAGTCAGTATTCCATTAAATGTCTTCCTACCTTGCCTTGTATGAAAGAATAGATGGCCTTTGATCTTCCTGTTCAGGAGGATGGGTATGTCAGGGAAGACAGGGTGGAAAACAGGCAGAAGCCTTGGAGTTTCCATCTGATGTTCTAGATGGATCCCATTTCTTCTGATTGTTGGTGTCATGGTAATCTGGGCCAGTGTGAGGGAAGAACCAGAGCCTGAGCTCACTATTTAGAGTCTCATTTCCTACCATCTGTGTATTTTACAAATTGCACTTGTTTGACTTGAATGCTAAGATCTCAGGGGATGAGTGGGGTGGAGAGAGAAATGCAGGTTGACTTATTCATTTCCTTCCTAAAAATAGATGTATTTTGTCTACTAGGAGCAAACACTTTTGAGAGGCTGAAGGGGTAGGGTCATTAGCTGTAAGGCAAGGATAAAGGTGGGTGGGGGCTGCAGTTTGGGCCTCCCCCAACTGTAGGCTGTCCACAGTTTGTGCTGGATGCAGAGGGCTTGAAATGGGAAGGACTGCAGGAAGAGCCAGCTGCACAGAGATAATGGGGTTGTGAGCCAAGGTCCTGGCTGGAAGCCTGCATGACATGCTGTCTCTGGAGCAGGCAGCCTAGCACAACAAGGGCATCATGTCCCCACCAGCCCTCCTCACCCTCCTCTCCCTGGAACTGTGCAGAGGTGACCAACCTAAAACCAAAAGAAAGGACTAGGTTGAATCTTCTGATGAGACTTGCTCTCAACTGGGGCTCCCTATTCAATTCAAGTATTAGGTTAGCCAAAAAAGTTTGTTTGGGTATTTCCATTAAGATGTCATAGAAAAACCCAAATGAACTTTCTGGTCAACCCAATGTTATTAGAGAGCTTTCTGCTGAAGACTCCCTAGGCTCGGCACAGTGCCCATCCACAGTGGGCTATGGCCCTGTTCCCTATTTGATGGATCATCCATTTCCATTTGGTCAGTACGGTCATGAGCAGCACGGCTCTGGCTGTTGGGAGGGGGAGAAGTGTTGATTACCATGTGTGCATGGGTGCCTCTGTGGTGACCCTGTGTCTCCCTCTGCATGAGTATACATGGGTGTGTGGGTGTACATGCATGCATGGGTGTGCATGCATATGAGTGTGTACACCCTGGGGAGTGATTGGGAAGTTTTCCCAGAGCTTGTTTCTTGGGGGTCTCCCTGATGGAGTCTACTCTGACCCAATTTCTAGCCTCTTGCCCACTTCTCTCCCCTTTCCCCCTGCTGTGTCAATGCAGTAGTGTGACCATCTCTTTAATTCTTCCCTGTCCTGTGATTCCCCGGGGCTTCTCTGCAGAACCAATAAGGGCCGGGACATCAAGACCATCAAGTCCCTGAGGGTTCTCCGTGTCCTGAGGCCGCTGAAGACCATCAAGCGCCTGCCCAAGCTCAAGGTGACATTCTCCAGTTTCTTCCCTTCACTTCCCCTTTGTCCATTTTTCCTCTCTAGCCACTATTGGCCTGCTTTTGGAGAATTATTTCTGGAAATATCCCTGTTGCTCACGTGAGGACTAGGATTCTTTTTGTCTGCTAAAACCAAGGATCTTAGTCTCAAAGGAAAATAACCAACGTCCCAAGAACTCTCTAAGGAGGCTTTCACCCCTTGACTCCAGATCTAGGAGGTATTTTCTACCCACTGTGGCAAGTCATAGGAAGACAAAGTCATAGCTTTGTCCTGGGGCCTCCTGTGTGGTTAAGGTGGCCCAGACACCAGAGTGGAAGCCGCAAGAGCACTGCATGTCATGGTCTGTGTACTTGGTTGGACAAAGTAACCTGGGATGGTTTTTTTCCTCGTGATTCTAGAGAAAGAAAGGACCTTCTAGCGTTGATGCTTCATATTTTTGAGGCATGAATAGGTCAATAACTTGCCCAAGGACAGTCATTTTCGGCACCAGCAGAGAAGAAATGGGGAAGTGAGCTTCCACAGCTAAGTTCTCCCTATTGCCAAGACCTGTGTCTGCATAGGTCTCAGTCTGGGTTGCCCTGCCCCCTCACCGGCTGGCCTGTCCTGAGCTCCTTCCCTGAGGCTTTCCTGCTGTCATGTTGCTGGCATGTGGAACCCATCTCTCCCACACACATCTGTTGCTGTTACGGTAGCTAAAGCCCCATGGGATAGAAGTTCTTCCTCCCTGAATTCCTGTGAATGAGAGCCAGTCAGCACTGGGCAGGGAACCTGGGACCCCTATGCTCCCCATTCCTCTGTCCCATTGAGTTTACATCACCTCTAATATTCCCCACCAGTCCCCCCCCCCACCACCACCCCAGCTGCTTCCCTTTCAGCCCTCTGGCTCTGCAGGGGGATGGTAAGCCAACCAGGTTGATCGGACGCTTAGGATCACAGGAGGGTCTCTTTTGAAAGACCCCTAACTGGCTGAGACATGGCTCCTCTCAGAGCCCAGGGCCCTGGCCACTTGAGTGGGTTCCTGAGGAGAGGTGCTCATGCCCCACAGGAGGCGTCCTCCCTGCCTGCTTTGCTCCTCAAGTGCCCAGCTTCCCCTCCTGGATGAGGCATCTCCCATGGCGATGGGCCCAGCACAGGGCCTGGCCTGGCTCAGCACCCGTGAACATTCATTCCTTTCTGCCGCACCCCCAGCAAAATATGGCCAGGAGCCCTGCGGCCTGACAACCACTGTCGTTAGCCACAGCCCAGGTCCACTGGTCTCATCTCCTCTGAGCTATGCTGGGGTCCAGAGAAGAGCTCAGAGGGGCGGATGATATTACTCACCAGGCTGGAGAAGGCGCCCCCAACCTTGCCTAATTCCAATTAATTAGGAAGGGCTGGCTCCTCGCTCTGCAGTTCCATAACCTGAGGGAAATGTAGGTGGATCTGATAATTCCATGAGGCTGCATGTCGCTCACATTCCCTGCAGTGCTGAACTAATTAAACCAGCAGTGTTCGCCCAGCACTGTGAAGAGGCAGCCACTCAAACGCAGCGCCACTGTAGGGCAGACTCGCCAGTGCGCCAAACCTACAAACCTAGAAAACAACCCCAAAATGGTTTGAAATACGTTGAATTCCCATGTAGCTCTTCATGGCGTAGGGCCTGGAAGGGATTCTCCAGAGGGAGATTCAGTGCCTTGAACTGAAGTGCAAGTTTCTGGTTCTGTCCTCCAGTCCTCCTGTCTCTAAGAGGGCAGGTCTCACCCCTTCCCACATGACCTGCTGAATCTTTATCCCCAGCACAGCTGGCTTTTAACTAGAGAACCTTTATGTGAAGTGTGGAATGCACTTGGGGGTAAATATATGAACTTATTACAGAGTATCATTAAAATGAACACAGATAATAGTTTATTATCACTCCCCGCTCCATTTAGAATGGCAAAGAGAAAAATGATACATATTCAATATACAAATCAAATCTAAGAATGTGCCCCAAATAAATGAGGTTTATAGATAAGCTATTTAATGTATTGCAGAAAAGTGATCCTTGAAATCATTTAGCCTATTGAATGCCTAAAACAGGCTAAATGATTTCGAGGATCCCTTTTCTGCAATACATTTCTGTTTCACACTAAGTGAAGTGCACGTAATGGAATTCCACAGAGGACTCCCTCCACTGCCTGCTACCATCTGGTCTCTTCTGCTTCGGGTTTCCTTTCAGATTCAGAGCATGTGTTCCCCTCCCAAGTGGTAGGTTCCTGTAGTCATGACCAGTTTAGAGGCCAGGTCTGAATCCTATGAGTGTAGCTTCTTAGTAGGGTGGTATCTTCTGGGGCACCTTCTCCGAGCACCAGTTGTGTGGGTCCCATTCAGCTGTAGGCAGATCCACAGGCCATTCCAGTGACTCACACACCAGGGCTCTTTTTTCCTGTTCTCAGGCTGTCTTCGACTGTGTGGTCACCTCCTTGAAAAACGTCTTCAACATACTCATTGTCTATAAGCTCTTCATGTTCATCTTTGCTGTCATCGCAGTTCAGCTTTTCAAGGGCAAATTCTTCTACTGCACGGACAGTTCCAAGGACACAGAGAAGGAGTGCATGTAAGTGCCACCGGCACGTACCACTCACTTTCTGCTAAAATGTGTTTTGATAAGGTCCACTCCTCCCTTTATAGATAGGTCATTTCTTTCTCTCTTACTTAAATCCATTCCACTTTGGGGGGAAAAAAGTCAAAATATGAAGTTGCTACATTTTGCTTGAGTACATATTTTGTGTCAGGCATGGACATTTCACATCAGGTTTAAATTTTAAATCTTTCTCATGACCTTCTGAAATAGGTCTTCTTTGCACATTATAGATGTGGAAGTTGAAGCACAGAAAGTTTAAGTTGCTCAAGATTACCCAGCAACTGGGCTTCCCTTGTGACTTAACTGGTGAAGAATCCACCTGCAATGCAGGAGACCTGGGTTTGATCCCTGGGTTGGTAAGATCCCCTGGAGAAGGGAAAGGCTACCCACTCCAGTATTCTGGCCTAGAAAATTCCATACAGTCCATGGGGTCGCAGAGAGTCAGACATGACTGAGCAACTTTCACTTTCACCCAGCAACTAGTGAAAGGATTAAGATTTAATCTTCATGTCTGCTGTTGGACACAAAATCTCATTTTTGTTCCATGATAATATGCTGTCATAATAAAATCCTTCTTTCTTTGCATTTGAATGCCAATAATTCAATGATTACTAGGGTTTGTTATTGTAGTCCCTAGAATTTCTTTGCTCTTCTGTGAGCTATAGTGACAAGGTTCTGGTTCATTTCTGCTCTGGTTTTAGAGGCAACTATGTAGATCATGAAAAAAACAAGATGGAGGTGAAAGGCCGAGAGTGGAAGCGCCATGAATTCCATTATGACAACATCATCTGGGCTCTGCTGACCCTCTTCACCGTCTCCACAGGAGAAGGATGGCCTCAGTGAGTGATGGGATTGACTTGGCATGCTTGTCTGTAAGCTGAGCTGGGACCATGTGTTTGCCTTGAGAAGTTGATTTAAGATGAACAAGGCTAACCCTTTGGGATTGTACCAAGGAAGGTAAGTGGTCATGAGTAGGTGAGACAGGCAGGAGAGAGGAAGAATGAAGATCCTTCATATAGGAATCAAGCCGGATCTGATGAAGTCAGGGAAGTATCTGGTGCACTTCATGTTTTAGCTGATTATCGAGGAGTTGAGTGGAGCCATCTGACTCTTACAGAACAAATGAACTTTGAACAGCTCTCCACACCTTAGGAGAGTCCCTGAGGACTGTTTTAGACACATTTATCATCCAGGTTGACCCTGGACATGAGAGAGGGTTGAGGGTTAAGGATGAGCTGGCAGAACCCAGGGACACTTTCTGTGATCATACCTTATATGGCAAAAGTAACAGAATGCAGTTTTTTTATGCTGCTCATGGCGCTAGTGGTAAAGAACCCACCTGCCAATACAGGAGACATCAGAGACACTGGTTTGATCCCTGGGTTGGGAAGATCCTCTGGAGAAGGAAATGGCAACCCACTCCAGTATTCTTGCCTGGAGAATCCCATGGACAAAGGAGCCTGGCAATCATAGGGTCAAAGGACCCTGCAGTCATAGGGTCGCAAAGAGTCAGTCGAATATGACTGAAGTGACTTAGCACATAGCTGCAGGCTGATTTTTTTCAGAGACTTGGCAACTACCAAGATACCGCTTTCTGGTGGCAGTGTACTCTTTTGGCAGCAAAATACCAAAGGGGAATTCAGGAGTCTCCTGGTATTTTATAACAACCTCACCTATAACATAATGTCACTCTGGTGCTTAGGAGTTGGATCCATGGTGGCACAGGGGCTAGAGATAGCAGTGGCTTGGGGGTCACCAGATCTCCACCAGCTTGGTTGTGGAGCCCAAATTCATGGAGGATCCTTGAAGTTTAAAGAGTCAAATAAGAAAATGCAGGGGACTTCCCTCATGATCCAGTGGTTAAGACTTTTCCTTCCAATGCAGCATGAGTGGGTTCAGTCCCTGGTTGGGGAATTAAGAACCCACAAGTGTTGTGGCCAAAAAACCAAAACATAAAACAGAAGCAGTATTGTAACAAATTCAATGAAGACTTTAAAAACGGTCCACATCAAAAAAAAAAAAAAATTCCTTAAGAGTATATATATAATAGGGGGGTACATCAGCTAATGAAGCCTTGAGTCAGAGCAGCTGGCAAGACCACCTCCACCATGCCTGCTTCCTCTTTCTGTCCCCAGAGTCTTGCAGCACTCGGTCGATGTAACAGAGGAAGACCGAGGCCCGAGCCGCAGCAACCGGATGGAAATGTCCATCTTTTACGTGGTCTACTTTGTGGTCTTCCCTTTCTTCTTTGTCAACATCTTTGTGGCTCTCATCATCATCACCTTCCAGGAGCAAGGGGACAAGATGATGGAGGAGTGCAGCCTGGAGAAGAACGAGGTGAAGCAAGGGGTCTGGAGTGTGGGGCAGCGGGGGATCCAGAAAGGACTGTCAGACCAGCAGTGTTAGGAGGAAGACAGAATGTTCTCCACTCTCTTATGAATTAGAGAATTGGGGGAAAATGTTTTAGTTGGTCATCAAATAAATGTCTTTGGAGCATCTACTGTGTTTAAAGCCCGAGAATAGGGCATAGGAATGGGCTTCCCTGGTGGCTCAGATGGTAAAGAATCTGCCTGCAATGGGGGAGACCCGAGTTCAATCCCTGGGTTGAGAAGATCCCCTGGAGGAGGACATGGCAACCCACTCCAGTATTCTTGCCTGGAGAATCCCATGGACAGAGGAGCCTGGCAGGCTATAGTCCATGGGGTTGCAAAGAGACATGACTAACACTCACTTTCATGAGGCACAGAGACCTGGAAGGGATCTCTGTAAGAGGCAGTCCTTACTTTTATGCAGCACGTAGTCTAGAGACATGTGCCAGCATTATAACATTAAGACATCCGCTTCCCTGGCAGTGCCCCTCAATGGTACGTATTTGCTGTAAGGGTAGGGAACAAGTCTTACTTATTACTGCTTTTGTAGTAACAAGTGTGGTTCTGGCACATTGTCGAGTTCATTGTTTTTATCCTGGAACTGCACTAGAAATCGTTAAGAATCTATAAGACAAAAGCAAAGAAAGTGCTGTGGGAATGCACAGGAAGATAGATTTTTACTTCTGACTGCAGGCACCAGGAACGGCTTCCTGCCCAGTCATCTCAGCCATGTGCTGTGTAAGAGACCACCATAATCGATGATAACCATTAAGTCCTTCCTGTATGGGACAGACCCTCCTGGTTCTGTGTTTTCCTTTAAGGTGACATCCCACCTGTAGCTTTGTCCAAATAATTTCTTTTGTACTTTCACCTCTGCTTGTCCAGTCCTGGCCTCTTCTCCTACACTGTCCTCTTCTCCTAAGCATCTAACAGAGAGCCCCCCGGGGTGCGAGGTTTGGGGGATCTGAGCCTGACTAACCAGTGTGACCCTCCCACAGAGAGCGTGCATCGACTTCGCCATCAGCGCCAAACCGCTCACCCGCTACATGCCCCAGAACAGGCACACCTTCCAGTACCGCGTCTGGCACTTCGTGGTGTCTCCATCCTTTGAGTACACCATCATGGCCATGATCGCCCTGAACACCGTCGTGCTGATGATGAAGGTGAGAGGGTGGTGGCTGGGAGGCGCTGGGGCAAGCTGAGCCTCGGCGACTGCCCCCTCACAGAGCACTTGTGTGTGTGCCCAAGACACTGAGAAACCCTCCAGGGGGGTGAGGGGGAGGTAGGGAGGACGAATGGGGACTTGGTGTTTAATGGGAACAGAGTTTCTGTTTAGGAAGGTGAAAAATTCGGAAGCTGGGTAATGGTGAGGTTTGTACAACAGCATGAATGTGTTTAGTACCACTGAACTGTACAGTTAAATACGGCTAAAATAGTGTGCTTTGTATGATGTGACTTTTGCCACAATTAAAAAGTTAAAAAAAATTTCAAGATGGGGAACTCTCTGGCAGTCCAGTGGTTCAGACTCCTCACTTCTGTCACAGGGGCCACAGGTTCAGTCCCTGCTCGGGGAACTGGGATGCCACCCACTATGTGCCATGGCCAAAAAAAAATAAAAAGAAAAAAAAAATGACTTGCCAGTCTGTTGCCTCCTTACCTACTTTTCCGTCCTGGAATCTCTCTCTGATCTTGTCTTCATCAGCACCCCAGCCTCTAGGCCCTTGGGGTAAAAGGCAGTGAAATACGTAGCAGCAGTCATGGAACTCTGAAAGCAAAGGTTGATGACGGCAGTCAGATGCAGATGAGGGTGGAAATGTCAGATGTGGGTGATTGCGGAGTTCTAAGAGTCAGAAGAGGTTTGATGTTGTTTAATACTAAATGGTAAAGTAACTAACTCTAGCAGATGTTTCTGCCCTTCTCTCCTTCAGTTTTAGGAAGACTGGCCATTTTGCTAATAAGATTTGTGCTCCTCTCTGTTTTGTTTTGCTACATAGGATGTGTACTTCTCTCTAGCCCTAGATGACCGTCTTTCCTTCTACATCATGCACCAGAATGTCCCCCTAGGGCAGGGATGCCAGATGGCCAACCTCTGTGACCTGGATATGCCTCTCACCTTTCCTGTTTTCTCTTCCTGGCAGTACTACTCTGCTCCCTGCACCTATGAGCTGGCCCTGAAGTACCTAAACATCGCCTTCACCATGGTGTTTTCCCTGGAATGTGTCCTGAAGATCATTGCGTTTGGCTTCTTGGTATGTCATGGGATTGATCCTGCCCTCATGCTTGTCTTCCCCTCTCTTTGGGTTCATTCCCAGCCTCTGTTGGAAGGGAGGGGTGGTCACTGCTATTCCAGAAATGGTTCACACACCCACCCACCTAACTGTGAGTTTGTTTGGGCTGCTCAATAAACGGCCATAGAGACAAGATGCTGTGTGAGGGTGTCAGGAGAAAAGGCAAAGGGAACCAGAGCCCTCAGATAGACCTCAGCTCTGTTCCTCTCAAATTCTATCAGTGGTCAAGGGGCCACGATCATTAGGTCTTACTGGAACTTAGCAAGGTTTACCTGTTGAGGAGCCAAGCAAGGATTGGACTAGTAAACCCGAGTGCTTATTTATTGATGGAAGGTTTAAACTCTTATAACTCCAATGGGAAGATATCTGTCCCTCTTAGCCTCCAACATAGAAAATTATAGATTTTATTAATATGTAATTGTCCTCCTCCCTTTAATTACGTGAAGAATAACTCTTGCCAACAAAAATAAATGTTTCGTACTAAAGCTTACAAAGACTAGTGACCTTTAATGTGTCTGTGAGAGAGAGAGAGAGGTGGGCGTTCGGGAATTTGGGGAGCATTGGGATGAGTTTTTCTGGCAGGAGTCTTCCCTTTACTTTTTTTCAACTGCTAATTATAGTTTTGGCAGATTGTTACATCTGCCATCAAGCGTGTTAAGCAAACCTAGCCCTTTGCTTCAGTGTCCTATAAACAAGAGAGTTCTCTCTGCCACCCGCCCCCCACCCTTGGCTCAATGTTTACAGTAAGATCAGTGGGATGCAGATAAACCCACCTGAAAGCTGTTTCACACTTACTTTGTGTGTGAGCTACCATTTCAAATTATATGTGTATGTGGTGTCCCCTGCAAGAAGAGAAACTTAGCTCATTATCTGAATGTGGGTCTGACCACTGGCAGCTTGCGCAGGGACTCTGACCTCGGCTTGGCGGTTGTCAGTGTTGATGGTGGGGGTTGCTTCTGGCTTCCTAATGGTTCTTTGCAAAGTCATTGGTTTGATGGTGTAGGGAGGAGAGTTGAAGGGAACCCATGGCAGGCGGCTGTATATTGTTGGTTGTTGGACTCCCTTTTGAGTCTTAGAGAAATCAAAAAGTAAACTGCCAGCCACAAAGATGCCTTTATAATACAGTCTAGCCCTGGGCAGGGGTGCAAGGGGCGGGGGAAGCTTATACAACAACAACAGGACAAGTTTTCCTCCGCATCTTGGTTACTTGCATGTTGGATTGATATTGTCTGTGCTTAAGCCCCCAATTATGTGTCAAATTATAGGGAATACTGAATACCTACTTATAAGCTTAACTAGGTGATTCAGCCCCAAAGCCTGCCTCCTTCCCACCCTCACCCTCATATTTTCATTCAAGGTCTAGAAGCATTCTGAACACTATAAAAGGCACCACTAGCCCCAAATAAGTCTTTTCATTGATATGGTACTGTAGGTTTTCAGAATTCCCTAATATATACTGTTTTGTCAGATCTTTGCAATGACTCTGAAATAGGCATGGCAGAAACTAGCCTTGTTATTTTAAATGAGGAAATTGAAGTTCAGAAAAATGATGTTCCTTTTCAAAGGTTACAGACCAAAAGGCAGTAGGATTGGATAGTGGAATGGGAATAAAAAAGGAAGGAAGAAGAAGAAAGAAAGGGACAAAATTAAAATACATTTGTTGTCTGGAAAAAAAAGTGAAAGTGTTGGTCTCTCAGTCGTGTCTGACTCTTTGTAACCCCATGGACTGTAGCCCACCAGGTTCCTGTCCATGGGATTCTCCAAGCAAGAATACTGTAGTAGATAGCCATTCCCTTCGCCAGGGGATCTTCCCGACCCAGGGATTGAACTCAGGGCTACCGCATTGCAAGAAGATTCTTTACCATCTGAGCCACCAGGGAAGAAAGCTTTACATATTATTCATTTTACCTTCATAAGAACTCTATTAGACTGGGCATTATGATTTTCTTCTTATATGGATGAGCTGGGGCTTAACAAGATTCAGTACTTTGCATTAGTTTATTAAAAGGCGGAGCCTGTGTTCAGATCGGTCTGTCTGGCTTCGGAAGCCCACACTTTGTCCTCCATAACCTCCCAGTCTATACTCTACTCCTCTGGGCTTTACCTTGCTGTATTGTAAAGCCTCCTCTACTGGAATCCAGGGCTTCTGTCCCCTGAGACCTAGATTTGTATTCTAGCCCATAAATGGGGACTATCTAAGAATGTAACACAGGAGACCCATGTTCAATCCCTGGGTCAGGAAGATCCCCTGGAGAAGGAAATGGCAACCCACTCCAGTATTCTTACCTGGAGAGTTCCATGGCCAGAGGAGCCTGGCAGGCTACAGTCCTTGGGGTTGCAAAGAATCAGACACGACTGAGCGACTATTGCTCACTCACATCTAAGAATTAGGAAGCTCACCCCAGGTTGGGAACAGGAGAGCCCTGAAATGTGAGGAACTCAGAGACTCAGCTTGGCCCCAGTCCTGAAGGAGTGGCACCCTTCACAGCAGTGAGTTTGTGAGGCTGGATGTCTGGTTTATCTACATGCCTGGCAGGTGCCTGTGACTTTTGAATCAGACAGACCTTTCCAAGCCTCAGTTTTCTCCTGCATTAAAGGAGGATAACAAGAACTGCCATGTACAGCCACAGATACTGTGTGTGTGTCCAATCAGGGAATATACCTAAGACGTCTGGTCCTGAGTAGGTACTCATAAATGTACCTTCTGTCTCCCCACACCATTTCTCTCTATCACATTTCCCTCCCCACTCTTCATGCCAGCCCTACCACTCAGTAATTTGTGAAGTATTTATCACTACCTACTTAGAGCATCCATGGGAGGAATAAATGAACTGAAAGGATGCTGAGGAAGGGTCTGGCACAGAATCTGGCATGTATAGTAAGGACTCTTGAATGCCAGCCATGGGGGTTGGAGAGGGTATAGTTGTGCAGTGCTCCAAGGGTCACTCACAGGAGCTGCCACCCACAGTCAAGTGGGTAGTGTTTTGGAGACCCAGGTATTCTGTTTCTTTTAAGGAATATAGTCCAAGGTCTCTGTTCACCTGAGCCCCGGAGATGAGAGCTGAGCCCACTTTTCTCTAATGTTCCAGAGCTGAACGTTTTCTGGTTGGTGAATTTTCCAGGTCCTTTACTCCTTTGTCTCCTTTAACCTTCTCATCTCATTACTGCTTCGTTATATTTTATTTAGTCACACCTCCTCGAAAGGTGTAACAGAGCCGAGAAAGATGGCAAAGATGAATTCATTCATCCTGTTGCCAATCAGAAGTTGGTTTAAAAGGTTCAGTGAGGTTAGGAAGAGATTTTTGGCACATCTTTGATCTTTAGGCACTTAGGACATATTGTTAGTTGAAAGTCAGAATGGTGTATTTATAGGGTCCCATGATACTATTTAAATAATTTAAAAGTTATAGAAAACCTTAGACTAATACTGTAAATCATTTTATTGTCTTGTAGGTGACAATGATGATCTTTCTTTTCTTGGAGGTCAACATGTTCTAGGCTACAAATCACTTTCTTACATATTTTTATGTAGTATTACATTAAAAAATCTTCCGTGTTCTTTGTATAGCTTTTTAGTGACAGATTCAAAAACAAAGTCTTCAAATAGTGATAAAACTACTTCCCAAATGAGAAATTCTCAAATTAGTGAAGGAGAAACCGCATTTTTGGTTAGAAATAGGAAACCAAAGCCAAAGTTAAAATGAACTTGTCTTGGAATTGAAAAGTTTTAATTTCAAGTGAAAGAGTTCTATCATGAAAGATATTTTTTCCTTCATTTTCCCCCCTTGTTTTCTTTTCTCCCCCCGCCCCCCCGCCCCAATGCTCATGGCTAAATTCACTTGGCAGAACTATTTCCGAGACACCTGGAATATCTTTGACTTCATCACCGTGATTGGCAGTATCACAGAAATTATTCTGACGGACAGCAAGGTAAATAGCTCTTCCATCTTTCTCTTTAAGCTCGGTCCTGGAGTAGCATTAAAGCAATCCTCAGCACCTTCAGTCCATTTTTAACTCCTCAAACCCAACGTGCAGCCCCCTATTCACTTTCTCAGTCCTGAGCTTTCCCCAGAAAATGGGAACATTGGATGACACTGGATCTCATGGAAGGTTTGGTCCCATCTGCACCACTCAAATAGGTGAGTGGGATAGAGGGCCCAGGAGAGGCCATGTCACAGTGTTCTGCTAGATTCTTCGTGAGATACCAAGAATCTAGGCACAGGATCTTTGCCCTCAAAGTTGTTAGACCTTAAATGTTTCCCTGAGATGGTTCATCCCAAACAAAATTTGGAGAGCTCATCACAAAACCATCATGTTCTAGAGGGATTATGAGGTCTGCTCTCTGACACTCATGTGCAGAGTTAGGACCACTCAGAGAAGACCAGGGAGGCCAGTTTTGCCAACTGTGTTCAGGGCACCCATCTGGGGAACTTCTGTACCTTCCTGCCTGGGAATAGAGGGTGGGCCTGGGGAGGCTCGGAGAGATGGTCCTCTCTGGCCTGCCAGCTGGAGACGGGGTTAAAAATGAAAGACACCATTCGTGTTCTATTTTATGATCTGAATGAGGGATAAATGCACAAATGCCAGTGCTTAACTTTTCTAAATGACCCGAATGTCACTAATGATATGTTTCCTTCTGGTCCACCAGCTGGTGAACACCAGTGGCTTCAACATGAGCTTTCTGAAGCTCTTCCGAGCGGCCCGCCTCATCAAGCTGCTGCGTCAGGGCTACACCATCCGCATTTTACTGTGGACCTTCGTGCAGTCCTTTAAGGTAAAAGGCCTTACCAGCTCCGGGCAACCCAGCATTATTCCACAGGTCCCCTCGCCTCTGGGAATGGCTATTTGTCAGAAGCATCAGATAAACACAGCAGTCCTCAGCTACAATACAATTCGGCCAGGAGGTGGTTAGCTTATGACTGATCAGTTAGGATTTCATTCTAGAAAGCATCCCAACTTTGAAACTCAGTTATTGTCTCTGTTCACTGAGGCAGGGGGCTTGTGTATTCCCTCCCAAGTATTCCAGAATGCCCAGAGCAATCCTACCCATGGACAGAGCCAGCCACCTATAGTCACATATCCTCTGCATTTTCAGAGTTTCATCCATGGCTTTATTTCACCCAACAGTTTTTCAAAGGACTCCTTGAGTTGTGTTTTATAACAAGATGATTCATACCATTCCCACACATGTCATCATTAGTATGTAATTCCTGAACCACTGAATATATTGCATGCTAATGGCCACCTCTGCGTCTTGCAAATGAATAAGACATCTGGGCAAGGTTAATATGGTGAGCATCTTTTGAATGACCTCATCAGATTGTACAGAGGTGTGTGTGTAATAAACAAGTTAAAACTTGAAACCTGAGACCCATGTAAATGGCAGAGACTTTCAGTAAAAGAAATTTTCCATATTTAAATATTTGCATGCTGTAGCAAATATAATTCATTTTTGAAGTTTGGGGAGCATTTATGCTATTCAAAAACTTACTGTTTTCTTCATAAAATAGGGTTTTTCAATAAATGTATTTTTAAAATCTGATGAAATTGATTCAAAATGAAAAATCATGAATTCAATAATTGCCTTCTTTAATTATTTGTACATTTTAATTGTATTATTTGATGTTTGACTGTGCTCATTGCTCTATGCGGGCTTTCTCTAGTTGTAGAGAGAAGGGGCTACTCTTCACTGCGATGCTTGGGCTTCTCATTGCGGTGGCTTCCCTTGTTGCCAAGCACAGGCTCTAGACACATGGGCTTCAGTTATTGCTGCTCTCAGGCTCTGGAGCTCAGGCTTAGTAATTCTGGTGCATGGGCTTGGTTGCTCCAAGACATGTGGAATCTTCCTGAATCAGGGCTTGAACCCATGTCCCCTGTGTTGTTAAGTGGATTCTTAACTATCGGACCACCAGGGAGTCCAATTATTTATACATTTTAATTCCAAACTGAACTGAAGAGAGCCTGTCAGTGAATTCATGGTATCTCGTTATTTAAAAGGGACTTCACCCCACACCATCATGACTTTTACTTCTCCATCAAGTTCTTGTGCATCTGAAATGTGAGACCAGTTGTAAGGATGTTCAGGTTCCCATGAGCAACCTTGACATTTTTATTGTCTTCATCATAATTGTTTGGTATGATAATTCCCACAATGAATAATTCCCACTCGCCTCAATGAAAACTGTTTCTCCAAAACTGAATGACGGAGGAGAAATCAAAACCCTTAGCAAGAATTTAACCATTTGAGTCTTGAGTGGAGCTGGATTTAGAATTTGAAACACAAGATGCTCTTAAAACCTCTTTGTAGAGCCCTGCCCAACAAGTTCCAGTTGTTAGTCTCTTAAGAAATATGCGTCAGCCTGTCATATTCTTACGATCACCAATTCTCTGTGAAAGTGTATACTATTGAGGACAAAGAAAAGCATGTCAAAAACTGACGGCCAAATGGTTGGCTTATTCCAGTGAATAGAGAAAAGTGGAGACAGGTGTGTCTGTCTCCAGGTGACACTGTGATGGATGGGTGTTTCCTTTGTGGAGCCGCTCTGGGACACAGTGTAGAAGTTGTTTTCCTGAAGTTGGTTTAACAAAGGCTGCCTCTGCACACACAAAACAGAGAGTCACACAGTGTAGACAGCATTGCCCCGTCTCTGCCTCCCCCTCCCTCACCCTGAGCATCACCTCATTTCCCACCACTGACTCCTCTCAGTGCTTCTCTCTCTTCCTTATTTTTTTTTTTTCTTTCCTAATTTAACGATGACACTCGGCTGTCTTCCAGTTTGCATATTTTCTGACCGGAAGTAGGTTGTTATTCTTTGTTCTGTGAATGTGTTGTGTCTTTACTTTCTCCAGGTATTTTACAGTCCTTTTTGAAAATAATTTTTTGGCTGTGCCACTCCACATGTGGGATCTTAGTTCCCTGACCAGACATTAAACCCACACCCCTGCATTGGGAGCGTAAAGTCTGAACCACTGGATCACCAAGGAAGCCCCTCTTTTCCTTATTTTGTGTTGGAATGTATGCCATGACAAGGAGAGAGATCAGGATGGGAGAGAGGTACCAGGGACTAGAGATGATGGAATGGGGAAGGCAGAATAAAGGCAGGAAGCACAACATAGAAAGTGAAGGGAAGAGGCCAGAAACCTGCCTCCCTGCCCTCTCCTTTCAGCAGAGGGTGTCTTCACGTGCCCCGGTGGGATGTAGCCACTGCTCACAGACCTTGAGAATCAGCAGTCCATGGGAGAAGGGGTTCTCCCACCACCTCTCAATTTCATTTTCATGTTTGTTCTTTATTCAAATTGTAAAAGTCTCCCAGGACTCTTCATTTAGTTAGCACCGTGGAGAAGCTCTGCCTGGCTCCTGCAGTCTGAAGCCTTCAATTGCCCTCCTGGGAGTCGCGCTGTACACACACGAGAGAGTGAAGCCTCGGAGTCACATGAACTGCCAGGGAGGCTTCCTGGGTGGTGAAAACAAGGGGCGTCCATTGTCAGCGCCAAGATCCCCTAGAACTGTAGTGCCCACCCTTTCCCCAAACCGAACTGCCCTGTGTCTTCACCCTCCCCCAGCCACCAGGGGCAACTCCCTGCCTGCCTCTTCCTCCACTCACCCCTTCACCTCCACCTTTAAAGTGTTGTCATCCCAGAGTGGCAGGTAGCTTGCACAGGATTGAATGTTGTGCCACAGGGCTGCATGGCAGAGTTTTGTGGTCACCCACACTTTGAAAGACTTTTTGGAATTTTGCACAAAACAGGCTGAAAAGTCAGCAGGCTTAAACATTGGAAAAAGATGTTTCATCAGAGCCTGAAGGGGCCTTGTAGGAACTGACCAATGACTGAGACCCCTCAGCCAATTCATTCTGCTTCCAGATGCTTCATTAGGAGCCTTGTGTTGAGTGAAGGAGTGGGAAGGGTCATACGGGGACTTGGGAGTCAAAGCTGGATGCTCGCTGTGTAATTGGCGTCATATTTGCCCAGATTATTAATATTCTGCATACAGAGTGGGATGAAGACCAGACCCAGGAGTTTTTCCCAGCTCTCCCTCAGATACCCGGCCACACACTTTACTGAGTCTGAGAAGATTCTTGGTGGGGAAGGAAATTACAAACCTCTCTGAGGCCAACAGCTTGCATACCTATCAGACGACGTGGACATCCGCAAAAGCATGGAACTCCAAAATAGAACATCCCAGGGGAATAGAGAGCTGCTGCCCTGTGTTTAAGTCATTCTGAGGGCAAAAGTTCCTACGCTGCCTGGGGTGCAGTTTGTTGACCCCAGAGCTGCCTGCCTTTAAATTCATGGTCGTGTCTCTGCTTCTTTCCAGGCCCTTCCCTATGTCTGCCTTCTGATTGCCATGCTTTTCTTCATCTACGCCATCATTGGGATGCAGGTGAGTGGGTGCCTTGGGAGCCTGATGGGGAACAGCTGTCGCCCATGCTGGCTTTCCAGCCAGAGCCTACAGGATTGAAGGTGCTTTAAAGAACCCCTTCTTACCCAGAGGTTGAAGTGTTAGTAGCTCAGTCGTGTCCAACTCTTTGTGACCCCATGGACTATAGCCCTCCAGGCAGCTCTGTCCAGGGCATTCTCCAGACAAGAATACTGGAGTAGATTGCCATTTCCTTCTCCAGGGGCTCTTCCCGACCCAGGGATTGAACCTGGATCTCCTTCATTGCAGGCACTTTCTTTACCACTAAGCCATCAGGGAAGCCTCTTACCCAGAGGCTCGCTCTAATATCTTGTTGCAGTATGACCTTGGGAATATCACATGTGCAGTTCCCCACTCAGGTTGCCCAGGTGGTCAGTGTGGTCTGATAACAGGGGCTTCATCTGTGGTTGTCAGATCCTGGTGCTTTCTCACACACAGTTGGATTCCACTGAAGATAATGCCGTTGTTCTTGGCCAGAGGGCGCCCCCTGAAACTTACGAGAGGGTGAGGCTCCTGATGGTCCATATCTCAGGAGCCTCCCATATTTGAGCCAGACCTAGAAGAAGATCAGATGGCTGCTCTCCTATAGACACAGACACAAAATGTATTTGAGTTACACCCCAAACAGTTGAGATTGAGAACAACTCAGAATCTCTGGCAGTGTGCCCAATCCATGGGAAATCCCTGGGCCACATTCCAGCTGATGCCTGTCAAAGGACCATGCAGCTTGCTGGATGGTTCTCCTGGGTTAGCACATCCTTTCCAGTTTCAAGATTGAGACGTGGATGAGGTTCGCACCCTGGGTACTCATGCAGATAACCAGAGGCCCACTGAGCAGAAGGGACCAAGGGATCTTTCAAAAGGCAGTGGTCATTTGTGGTGTGTGAACACCTACCATAAACACCCTGCAGCACACCCCAGCACCTGTCTGGTTGGGTACACAGGCTCTGCTGGGCTCCGAGAGGCTGACTTTCTGACTTGGAGATATGGAGGCTACACCCCGGTGTAAGACCTCAGCCACGTGGCCATCTCCTGCAGTCAGGCAGTCTGGCTGCCTTTGGACGGCCAGCTGCCTTCTCAGTGGTGGCTGCCACCTGGAGCCACTGCTCACATCCCCCAGACTTGCCATGTCGGCAGCCCTTTCTAGAGCTTGTCTGAAATGTCGTCTTTTACTCCTCTCTCTTGCCTGCACTTCCTAATTTTGTTCCTCTTCTAATCCCATTACTGGAGAGTTTTGTTCTCCAAAAATACAATAGAATGTCAGGTGTCAGAAAATGTGACACTTGGTTGAAAAGTAATGAGTTCTCTTTCACGGAGGATATTTCAGTAGAGCTTTAATGATGATGTCAGGGGTGTGTTGCAAGCTGAATCCCAGCTGAAGCTGAATCTTGTCTTGCTGACTTCTATTAAGTCATTTCTAACTGTGAAGCATTTGATTCTAGAATTTAAATGTTCTTGAATAGCCAAATGAAACTTGATTAAATTAGGGTTTGTTTTTTTTTTTGTCCACACTTAAGGGGGAAGATCCCTTGGAGAAGGGAATGGCAACCCACTCTGGTATTCCTGCCTGGAGGATTCCATGGATAGAGGAGCCTGGAGGCCCCCAGTCCATGGGGTTGCAAAGAGTTGGACAGGACTAAACAACTAACATTTTCAAAATAGTTCTTATCCCTTTTCATCTTCAAGCAAAATAAATTAGGAAAACCGTCTCTAATACCTGTTAGTGGTACTACTGATAATGATGAATATCATTTACTATCACTTGAATCCCTAAGTGTTTTAGACACTGTGCTAAATGTATGCTCTTACCTCCTCCTGCCTCTCCCTTCCTCTCTTTCTCTCTCTCCCTTCTAAAGTGTATATATTATACCCACACACATAAATACAGGACACATAAGATACATAACTGATGTATTCAGGAATGATGTGAAATGTTTAGAGGTGGGTTTCATTGTCTCCGTTGTTGCCTAGCATGGTTAAGTAACTTGTAACGCACTCCAGATCTTAGATATAGGTGGGAGAGCTGAGTTTAAATCTCAGCTTTGTCTGCTCCACAGCCCATATCTGCACCTTCTGCATAGTGACTCTCCTCCCACCAACAAGGAAACACAAGTATTTCTTTGACTCTTCAGTGGCAGGTGGAAAGTTCTCCAGTTGTGACATTGTGATATTTACAGTAGCCATAATGTGTAATAATTTATTGTCCATAGACTTATTTCCAAAAACTAAAAGCACTGTTCCCATTTTACTGAGACAGGAATGGCATCCCCATTTTGACGTACCTTTAGCTGGCTGTCTTCATCATGGCCCTTGACAGAGACCCCACACCATGAATAAAAAAAACATCTGGAAAAAAAAAAAAAAGCAGACACCTAGCTTGTTACCAGAAAGGTTGTTTCTCATATAGACACAACCAACAGGGGGATCCATACCAACAGAAAAGAAGAGTAGAGAAGCATCTGAAAGACAGAGATAGCAACAGGATGTGTCTTTGAGAAGTATTGTTATTCTGAATTCTCAAGGGCTTCTTGGAAGAAGTGAGCTTTGCAGACAAATCTGAGGGTGAAAAGAAGGAGTAAGTTGCTGGGTTTGGGAAAGAGCTCTGGGGCTGCTAGTAGTTAGGAGGTGTGGCTTTTAGACCTCAGCTCCACCACTGACCAGCTGTGCAAACTTCGTCAGATCACTGAACCTCTCTTGGACTTAGCATCATCACCAGTGCAGCGGAGGAGTGGATAGATAGCTTTATGGATCCCTTCTAGTTCTTAAATTCTGTATGTGTGTGCTCAGTTGCTCAGGCACGGTTGACTCTTTGGGACCCCATGGACTGTAGCCCACCAGGCTTCTCCGTTCATGAAATCTTCCAGGCAAGAATAGGGGTGAGTTTCCATTTCCTACTTCAGGGGATCTTCCCAATCCAGGGATCAAAACCTTGTCTCCTGTATCTGCTGCATTGGTAGGTGAATTCTTTACCACTGTGCCACCTGGGAAACCCCAATCCTAAGCAAAAACAAGAGTTAAGCCTATAATTGCATTAAGTGTTCAGATGGGTCTCAGCAAACCTTTCTCTTTCATAGCCTTTCCTTTTGATGTCGGAGATTTGGGTTAATGACAAGGACTAAGTGAAAAGCTTTGAAAAAGGTGAAAAAATTGAAAGGCCACCTTTGTAATAAATATGCGCTTTTGGCTTAACAATAGCTCCTTGACTGTTACACACATAACTTTTATAAAATAACAGTGTACCCTCTGGCCAGTTCATGATTAGTAAGGTGTTTGAGAAAATCGTAGAGAGGACAACTAATGAAGTCTTCAGGAGAGTCATAGGGAGAAAAAACCCCAAGTTGTATGTGTAAGAATCAGGGATAAGTCGTGGATTTTGAATTAAGAGGATGAAAAGAAAGACAGACGGAGACATGAACATGGGCAAGGATATGTGACAGTTTCCTCCTGGGGCATCCAGAGCTAGGTTTGATTGTTTGGCTGGGATTTTTTTCAGTGCTCCTATTTGTCTGATTGGGGGCCCTCAGCCTTCTTATCTCCCTTCTTCTCTCCTTCCCCAATGCCACCTAGCTTGCCACCTCCATTCTCCCTGAGAGAGAAGTAGTATTTAGGTTTTGAAATCAGTGTTGAGAACAAATTCCCCAAGCAGGTGTCAGTGGGAGTTATTTGGGCAAGATAGCAGAGACTGTTCCTCAATTGCACATTCCAGAGGAAAGTGTGTTCCATTTAGCACATATTAGATAAACTGATAAGCCTTCAGTTGTACAAACATTGCCTTGTGAAAGTAGATCCTGAGATCTGAATCATGACTGGGGAGGACAGTACATGTGTAACGATACCCTTCCCATCTAGAGAGGGCTTCCCTGATAGCTAGCTCAGTTGCTAAAGAATCCGCCTGCAGCGCAGGAGACCCCAGTTAGATTCCTGGATCAGGAAGATCCTCTCGAGAAGGCATAGGCTACACACTCCAGTATTCTTGGGCTTCCCTTGTGGCTCAGCTGGTAAAGAATCTGCCTGCAAATATGGGAGACCTGGGTTCGATCCCTGGGTTGGGAAGATCCCCTGGAGAAGGGAAGGGCTACCCATTCCAGTATTCTGGCCTGGAGAACTCCATACACATAGTCCATGGATCTCAAAGAGCTGGACACGACTGAGCGACTTTCACATTACTTCACTTCCCATCTAAACAGATGTGGGATACACCTTGGCTCCAGGCAGCACTGTGTCTAGGAGTTCATCCTTATTTTCTGTGGCCGGAGGTCTTGTGTGTGCCTCTTATTTCCATATGAATTTGCACAGTAACCACATTCTAAGCCCAATGAGCAACAGCAGATCAGAAAACTCACTCTGTAGCCAGATCTGCCCAAACCTGTTTTCTTTTTCCTTTTCCAAGTATCCAGTTTTCCAGACTTTCTTCATCCCATGGGCCTGGGTTATAGATGTATCACACTTCCGAGGTGTGACTCTTTGGGATGGGAGCACACCCCAGGAAGATAGGGATGCCCCTCTCTGACTTACAGTGCTTGCAGATTTCAGGGCAGCATCTGCCTATTTCTTTTTTATAAAGAATAAATCACATCTTCTGCAAATACATATGTTCTCATCATTACCAGCTGAGACAGGAAGAGAGGAGGGTAACGCATTCCCTGCACGCCTGTCATGGGGTAATCTTGTTGACAGACGGCTTGAATGCCGTGGTGAATAGGTATCATAGAAATTAAACGACCAAATTAGGTGTGGGAGCAACTACATCCAAGCAGAATGACTTCCAGAGATCTTGCCTTCTGTGGTCCTTGCAAGCATTCCTCCTCTTTGCTTCCCTGGAGAATATAACTCTTGCCACATATCAGGCCAAGAACATGGGGTCTGCCAGCCTTCCTGGGTTCTGAGTTGTCTGCTTCAGGGTTAGGCCGTCAGGAGGAGCCATGTGGGTGAAGCTGCTGCCCCTGCCAGCATGTGCTCGGTCGGGTTGGACTCTTTGCGACCCCATGGACTGTAGCCTGCCAGGCTCCTCTGTCCATGGGGTTTCCCAGGCAAGAATATTGGAGTGGGTTTGCCATATCTTCCTGCACAGGATGTTCCCGACCCAGGGATCGAACCTGCGTCTCTTGCGTCTCCTGCATTGGCAGACGGGTTCTTTACCATGGTGCCTCTGACCCTGCAGGTCCCACTGCTTACTGATGCTCAGGGCTTTCTGCTGTTTTTCTCATCCAGGTCTTTGGAAACATAAAGTTAGATGAGGAGAGTCACATCAACCGGCACAACAACTTTCGGAGCTTCTTTGGGTCCCTCATGCTGCTCTTCAGGTACCTGGATCCATCCCTGCCGTGGCTGGAGCGCTCCTGAGAAAGGGAGACAGTCACCTGCCTTTTCTTCCTGTTCCCGTTTGTCTGCCTGCTCTGCTTCTGTGAGGATAGATGGGGGTGGGTTGGTGGCGGGGCCTCCAGAAAACCGCCCTGCTGACTTTAGGAAGTTTCCTCCACATCTTTGGCTCAGTAATCAGTTTGCAAATGGCAACTTCAGCACCTCCTCTAGGGCTCAAAGAGGGGGAAGTTGAGGACAGAGTCCATTAAAAGGCTGAAACCATAGATGGTCAGATTTACATGGAGTCTTCGAGTCCCACAGCCCTCTCTACCACTGTTAACAGAAGACAGAGAAGCAGTGCCTGAGGTTGCAGAACCCAAGAAGCCCTCCCGGCACTCTCCATCACAGGATGGAGAGCATAGACAGAGGCTCATGGAGCACAAAAGGAGCCTAGGAAGGGAAGAAGGGATGCAGGAACCGGGAAGATGGTCAAGGAGAGGCTGGGCCGTGCAGACCTGCTACTACTAACCGAGTTGTCTTTGGGTTCAGGAGTGCCACGGGTGAGGCCTGGCAGGAGATAATGCTGTCGTGTCTCGGGGAGAAGGGCTGTGAGCCCGACACCACTGCGCCGTCGGGGCAGAGCGAGAGTGAACGCTGTGGCACCGACCTGGCCTACGTGTACTTCGTCTCCTTCATCTTCTTCTGCTCCTTCCTGGTGAGCAACAGTGTGCTATCAGCTCAAGAGGGGGTCCAGCCCACCTGCCTGATCAATAGACGAGAGGTTTCCTTCTGTGTACGTTCAGTCACAAGCTCCAGCCTGTGTTGAGAAATAGGTCCTCCTCAAGAGAGCTCTTGGAGGCCAAGGTGCTTGTCAGACACCTGGGTGGGTGGCTTTCATTGACTGAGAAATGTCTCTGCTCCTTCTAGGGTAGCACTGTGTGAGGAGAGGTGATGAGGGGAGTGGATGGGGTTCAGCAAATTCAGCATCCAATGTCATGTTGAATTGGTGGTGACTCAAAGTAAATCTTTCTCTTCTGTATCTCTGGTGTTTTATATCTTACAAGCAGGACTGAGAATCTCTAATCTCTCTTTTGGAGACCTTTGGACCCTTTGAGAAAACGTACCTTGAAACTCTAAGTGGATAGCATTAATTGAAGCAGGATGATGACAATGTACAATGGAATAGATGTGGTTCTTTCTTAGGTTGCTACATTTGATGGCACTTGGCCAACTTGATAGATGTGAAAGGATACGATTGCTCTGGCATTGGTTAAATATTGAGTAATGCATGAAGCACACCCATCTAGAAAATGGTGAGAAGCCCCAGGTGCCTTCTGAACTCTTTTTTTGGGAGAAAGCCTGACTTGGCACAGAAGCTTCCAGAAATCTCTACCCTGCACCATCAGATAAGTGGTGATAGAGTAACAGGCAAGGTGCTACCAGGTCACTCTAAGGGTTAGTGCCGTGTTTCTGGCCACCCTGATGTCCCTCAGCTCAGCTCCCCTGCTAATGCCACCAGCTGCGCAAAAATAGTCTGAAACTAAAGTGCTGCTGTTTAAAAGTAGCCAGCTTCATGGCTGGGCATCCCAAAGTGAATTGTCTGGTGTCCAGGTGTTTCTACCTCTTTCAAGTGACCCAGAAGGGACTTGGCACATGTCCAACTGTCAGGTGTGAAGTGGCCTACAGACAGACTAGTAAGAGTGTCAGGTAGGTTGATGTAGCAGTGGATGAACTAGTCGGAGACTTGGGGAGCCCACATTGGTCATGTTGCTTTCTAGCTTTAGCCAAGGCACCTTCCTTTTTGTAGCTTCTGTAAAATAAAAAAAGTACTTGGTGATAGACTGTTATCTGTACAGTGAACTGATACATGTGGATATGCAAGGTTTTTGAATGAAAAAAGAACAAAAAACATCTTATTTGTAAATAGGAAAGTATAATGAATATAACTGCAAGGAAATTTAGAATGATTATATAAATAAGAGTTTTCGTTTATTCATTCCTGTATTCAGCTCATCTTTACTGAGTGGCCATTATAAGGTTCACCTTGAGCTAGGCACTGGGGTGAAGCCATCAGTCCCTCTGTCACCTAGAATTGAAAGGTGAGAATCATACAGGAGTATTAGTGCCCATCATGGGGGAAGGGGAGCACAGAGAAGGCCATTCAGACATCTCCATTTTATCTTCCATCACTGAAGTGTTTAATAATAAATATTTTAAAAGAAACCAAAGATATAACTGGAAAATTAATTAGAGACTATAAAGTACTTTTAGAATTTTGACTTAGAGGCTACTGCATAATTCACATTAATGTTATTTTTAAAGAGGCTATATTCAGTATGAGATGATAGGCTTGCAAATCTCAGCCCTACACTGACTCCATGACCTTGGGCAAGTCACACTGCTTCCTCAAGGCAAACCAACCACTCTGGAAAGATTTACCGATGCGCTGGGATGTACCCGGCCGTGTGCTTGGAGCTAAAGAATACAAATGTGTATAGGACGTGCTTGAGTCCTTGAAGGGCCGGTGGTAATTAAACCTGCCTCACGAAAGGTTAGAACAAGCATTAAAACATATGATAGGCGTGAATATATATACACACAGTGCAATAAAAGACTATGCAAGTGTAAAGCAATAATAATACAAATAGATCGTTTTTGCTAACATTAATAATGGGATCTGGAAAGGAGTGTAAAGAAAATGTGTGGATACAGTCGGCTCTATCTGCAGGTCCCACCTCCATGAGTTCAACCAACCTCAGACTGAAAATGTTTAAAAAAACCAAAAAACTCCAGAAAGTTCCAAAATCCAAAAGTCGAATTTGCCACATACCAGCAAATGTCCATTGCATTTACATTGTGTTAGGAATGTGTACAGAAGGCTGTGCATAGGTTATATGCAAATACTACACCTTTTTTTGGGGGGCCACACTGTGCATGGCTTGTGGAATTTTAGTTCCAGACCAGGGGTCAAACCTGGGCCCCCACACTGAAAACGTAAAGTCCTAACCACTGGTCCACAAGGGAATTCTTGGTACTTTACCATCTTACATAAGGAACTTGAGCATTTACAGATTTTGGTATCGGGGAAGGTCCTGGAACTAATTCTCAGCAGATGCCAAGGGATAATGATGGTGTGTACTCAGTCACTCACTTGTGTTCAACTCTTTGCAATCCCATGGACTATAGCCCACCAGGTTCCTCTGTCCATGGGATTTCCCAGGCAAGAATACTGGAGTGGGTTGCCATTTTTTCCTCCAAGGGGATCTTCCTGACCCAGGGATAGAACCTGTGTCTCCTCCATTTCCTGCATTGGCAGGTGGATTATTTACCACTGCTCCACCTGGGAAGCCAGTTGTATATGGAAAACCCTCTATAACCTGGGCAGTGATTAAATAAATTTCACTGTGGCTCCAGTCACAGTGGCAGAAAGAAAAGTCCATGTTAGGATTAGATTCAGCTGCTTGAAATTCAGCTGCTTCAAATAACAGTGGTTTTACCATGGGGGATGTTTATTTTTCTGGCATGTCAGTGAAGCCTGGAGGAAGGCAGTGCGGGCTGGTTATGGTGACTTCACAGAGTGTCTGGTACCCCAGACTCTTTCCCTCTTTCTGCTTCCTCACCTCCACCAAGTGTCCCTCAGCTTTGTGGTAAGAAGACAACTAGATTCCAGGGATCCACTTCCATTCTAGGCAGTGGAATGGAGAAGGAAGGACGGGAGGAGACCGGTTATTAGGATGCAACCAGCCATCTCTGTATTGCAGAGGAGACTCCCAGCAGGTCCTGGCTGCAGACTTTCTCTTGATCCCCAGTATCCTATCTGCATATCCTGTCTACTGGGTACTTCCACCCACCCAGCCACTTCACCTGGGAATCAGCAGCAGACGCTCCCGTTTGCTCACCCACCTGCAGGCGATTCATCTCTGTCAGGCAAGATTCTTTCTCTTGCAAGTGACAGAAAGTCCAGCTCCACCTGACATGAACAGAAAGGGATTTTATCGGCTTATATAAATGAAGAGTTGGGCAGGACAGGCTTAAGCAAGCTTGCTCTAGGGCTCAGATGACATCATCCCCAGAACCAGGTTTCCTTCTCTGTTGATGGATCTCTTCCCCAGGCTTCTTCACAAGAGCTCTTTTCTCCAACACCCCCAGCCTGTGGTTCCAAGATGGGAACAGCAGCAGCAGCTCTAGACCTCAGTCCCTACATATTCAAGGCCAATAAGGAAAAACAAGTTCTCTTGCTCAGAAGATTCAATGCCATTTTCTTGGCCTTAATTGGATCACCAGCACTGTAGCCCAGGGGACAGGATTCAATGGCTAGCTGAGGCCTGGGTCATGGTAGTGCCCCACTAAACTGTATTCACTGGGACTCGGCAAGGGGTGTGTCCCTGGGAAACTGGAAGTAGTGTTGGGTGCTGCTGTTCACTGTGGCCAGGGCCTGTCAAGTCCACCTCCTTTATCTCTGTACCCAGGCTGCTGTCCTGCCGCTGGCCTGGCTCAGGAGCACCTCACAACTCTCTGCCTGGACTGCCAGCCACCGTCCACCCTGCTACCAATGCAGTCTGAATGCACATAGCTCTTCTCTTTCTCCTAGTTCAGCCTCTTTAGTGGTTCCTGTTGCCTCCTGCATAATCTAGATGAGAGCCCAGTGAGTCATGGAGCCCAGGCTAAATCAAGTTTGCCAGCTGTTTTTGTATGGCCCGTGAGCTAGCCATGATTTTTACCTTCTTCAGTAGTTCAGAAAAAAAACTTAAAAGACGAATGATATTATCCTGACATGAAAATTATATGAAATTCAAACCCATGCACTTTTCTGTCCCTGTTGTACATGTTTCTTTCACGGCTCTCAAAAAAGTCTGTAGGAACTTCTCCTGGGTCCAGTGGTTAAGAATCTGCCTTCCAGTGCAGGGGATGTGGGTTTGATCCCTGGTTGGAGAACTGAAATCCTGCATGCTTCAGGGCAACTAAGCCCACTCGCTATAACTGGGAGAAGCTGGAGTGTGACAACAAAGAGAGCCTGCATGTTGCAACTAAGAATGGATGCAGCCAAATACATATATAAATATATACTTAAAATCTGTAACATTTGTATGTTTCCGGTAGTCTCTGCTGAATACTAAATGTCTTTAAGAATATTCAAGTAACAGCATCTAGTGAACACCTGCTGTGCTTTAAGGAATGTGCTAGTCATGGAAATATATCTCAGACCCGAACTTTCTTACCTCCCACCCCTGGCACCTGGAGCTCTGTCTGGAACACAGTAGGTGCACAATAAATGTTGTTAAGTAAGCGGGAGAACAGGGTCTCAGAAGCACTTGAGAGCCGTGAACAGCTTCAAGTTGTTGCACAGTAAGCCCAGCATCTGCTGTAAGGCATCCCACCAGGTCTCTGACAGGCAGCTGTGGTGAGCGCGGGTAGGGAAGGGAGACTGGAAGAGAGGCTTGGTGTTGGGCCTTGACTTCCTCTGGGCTTTGAGAATGTGTTGCTACTGCTGCTCCCTCTGCTGCTGCAATAACAAAGAAAGAAATTGAATAGATAACAAAAGCGACTGAGGAGTACTTCGCAAATATAAAGTGGCATAGCAAAGTGGACTCATAGCACTCCTCACATAGTGAGATGTGTGGTTCAGTTGTGAAAATGTGTTGCCTTCAGCAGGATCAACAGGGCTATGGTTAGGAACTTTCAGCCTCAAACTTGTGAATTCTTTACTTGCCTCACAGTTTGTTTTTCTGCTCTGGGTCCCCTCTAACTCCCCTTCTCCCCCTCGCCCTCCAGATGCTCAACCTGTTCGTGGCTGTCATCATGGACAACTTTGAGTACCTGACTCGGGACTCATCCATCCTTGGGCCTCACCACCTGGATGAGTTTGTCCGTGTCTGGGCAGAATATGACAGAGCAGCATGGTGCGTAGGCCTCTCGGCCACCCCCTCTGGGGCCGTATCAAGGGCCTCTGGGGTTCTCAAGGAGGAGGTTGGGATGGGAGCCACCCCATTCTGCCTGTTGCAGAAGGAGAGGAGAGTCCTCCTGGCTGTGGGCCAGGGAAGAGGCCAGGTCCTCAGACTGGCTCTGGGATCAAGCACACTATGGACCACTTAGCTTCTGTGTTTTCCTTTCCCTGCTCCTTCCTTCTGTAACAGGCATTTTCCTTTCTTTGACAATCTCAATACACAGTCTGCAACTCAGAGTGTTTGAGTTCAGTCCACAGAGGAGCTTCCAGAAATGGTTAGTGGACTCCTCTGAGTCACAGGGGGATTGACAAGGGTTCTCTGGGTCAGCTGGACATCTGGCCACCTTAGTCCTTTCTCTCTCTCATCCCTCTCAAAAGTACAGTTTCATATAACTCTGAAATTATACCAAACAAGCAAGTTATTCTCTGAACTGATGGTTTAAACACATGTGGGTTTCTGTTGATTGCATGGAACTGAGTTAAATGGCAGGAATTTGCAGAGATGACCTCCCCGGATCTTTTTCACTTTCCAGTAGTTCTCAAGTGAAATTGTGCCTTCTGGACTTTAATGCAGAGGCTGGAAAACTATAACCCATAGGCTCAATGTGGCTCACTTTATCTGGAAATAAAGTATAATTGGAGCACAGCTATGCCCATTTATCTATTGTTTATGGCTGTTTTCACACATTGTGATAAAGACAGTATGACCCTCAAATTAAAAAAAAAAAAGTTATTATCTGGCCCTTTACTGAAAAACTTTGCAAATCCTTGCTTCAAGTTCAAAGGCAACCTTTTGGTCCTCACAGTGGAAGACAAAGTGAGAGTGCTGTGAGCACTCATTCCATGGGACCTTTGTCCCAACTTAGTTTTAGGATCTTATCTCACTAATCTATCCATTCTGGCCCACCTCTAAAAATACGATAAGAAATGCCATCCTTCATAGGAGCGGACCACGTTGCTTCCACCTGGAACCATTTCATGATCTGAGACTCTTCCCCAAACCTATCCTCCTATGAGGCTGTTGCCCTTGGGTCACTTCTTTAGGTGTTGGAAGAGCACATAGGAATTCCTCTTCCCCTCAATAATTATTAACAACTTAGAGCACAGAGTTCTCTGAATCCATTATTATTACAGTAGCTGAGCAATGGTGTTTACTTTCTGGGCCTCCTTTCTTAGTAGGATAGGGTGATTAGAATGCCATGGGCAGTGTGTTACAGGCGAAGGGAGCCAGGCCTGCATCTTGTTAGCTGTGTGGCCTTGGACAAGTCACTCAACCGCTCTGAGCTCCCATATCTGTTGTATATAGTGGTAATGATCCTACCTCTGTGCAGGCTGTTTGTAAGGATTATATTAAATTGTGTGTGTAACTTTTGTTACCATTAATAAGCATATGGGAAAGGAAGTAGAAAGCATGAAAAATTGGTGTCTATAAAGCTGGATGGGCATGGGATCAGGATACCAAGAAGGGACCTCTATCCCTCACCTGAGAGAGAAGAAACTATTTGCCAGCAAAGGTGTTCTTTGCTCACCTAGCCTCACTCAGGTAAGAGCCCTTGGCTCTCAAAAACCTCAACTTCCTGTGGTTTCACATTATTTGGGGACCCAAGTCCTTTGTGCATTAACTGTGCTACTCCCCAGTTCTTCCATCTGCTGGGAAGAGCAGTTCCATGAGGACTAATCATGAGACTCAGACACAAGAGCTGTGAAAGACCAAGGAAAGCCTCTTGCATCTGCTTTGAAATTCCCAGCATGACTTGTCCTGGTTAGTTTCACTGGCCTTCTCTAGGAAATGAGAGGGGAAACTAACCAAGGTGAAGTGGGCCAGTGTCTTCAAAAAGGAGACAGGTTGCAAAGTACATCAGCCTATAGACAACCAATTCACCCACACCTCAACCACCATAAGGAACCAAAGAACACATGGTAAAATGAACCTCCTCTCAAGAGTCAAGAGACTTGGAAGTACTGCTGAGCTATTTGGAAGAAGAGGAAGAATCAACAGCAAAATCAAGAAAAGATTAGGAAGAGCGGAGCTGGGGCAAAGTTGTTGTCTTGACATGGCTGGTGAGGACTGGATGCTTGGAGGTAGAGATGTGCAGTTATGGTTTGCGGTGGAAACTTGGATCTAAACCGGGGTGTGTCCAGACCTGCAGATCTCTGGCCGTTGCTGACTGGTTCTGACCCCTCACAGAGCAGATGCTTTAGCCTCTGAAAATGAATCAACTGTCCATTCTCTTCTTGCCACAAGAAGCCAGAAGTCTCTAGCAGGCTCTGTGAAACGGGGTTACTATGACAGGCCCCAGTGTTCCTGGGATTCTGACTGGATCTGACCAGGCTGTCTGCAGGTGGGGTGGCAAGAACAGGACTGAAGGGAGAGCCCTGTGGCTCCCTCGCAGGCTGCTTTCTGAGCACAGATCCCGGCAAGCTCCTAGCACATTGAGAAGCGTTTGCCCAAGCAGAACTCGGGGGGAAATCTGCCACAAAGAGAAGCAATGTCCTCCGCAGATTCCCTCCTGCCAACTGTGCACCTTGCTAATTAGCTTAATGGGAAATTTCTCTCTCACAGTCCGGAGAAAGATGCTGACTTCCCACCACTTGACAAGCTGGTCGGAGTAGCTGCCTGTAAGCAGTGTCTGTGAAAAAAGCAAAGGGCTCTGCAGTCCGCTTCGCAGCAGCCTGGCATCTGCTCTTGATGGTGGCCCGAGGCATTTGTGATCTGGTGGGCTTGGTTCTTAGAGGCCTAGCTGGAGCCAAACTCCATTTGCCACAGCTGGCCAGGTACGGGCCAGACACCTCATGGGGTGCTCATGGTCACCAGGCATTGATTTCCGTGGAAAATAGGAGGCATTGTAGTTGGCAGAGTGATGGTTCATGCCGTTTGCAAGGTGCTGGTTCTCTGATGCTAACCGTCCTCCATCTCTCCTGGTCTGGCTTTGCCAGGCCCCAGGAAAGAAGCCACCCATCCTCCTCCGGCCGTCCCTTTCATGGCTAGGCTATCGTGTCTCTCCTCCCTTCTCTGAGTGTCCTATTAACCCACCTGTGCTTCCTTTACAGCGGCAGGATCCCGTATAAGGATATGTACAAATTAGTGCGGGTGATCTCGCCGCCTCTGGGCCTGGGAGAGAACTGCCCTTACAGGGTGGCTTGCAAGGTTTGCCTCCGGTCCCCAGCCGTGACCGTGACCATGACCGTGACCGGCAGTGGGGTGCAGCTTCCAACCCCCCTCCTCTCCGTTTTGCTCCACCACCACTGCGCCACATGAGGGAACCTTCATGTTGCTTTCCTTTGAGTTTAAAGAGGTCCAAACCCTTCCAGAACCAGCAGCTGTTACACAAGGAAGAAGGGCACTTGGCGGGGGCAGGGGGAGGGAAGTAGATAAAGAAGAGCTGAGGACTTAGTAACAGAGGCTGCTTTGACCTCTGTCTTCTTCACACGCACACACTCATTTGTGCGTGTGGAACACACACTCATCTCTCTCTCTTTCTCACTCCACCTTATTCTGTGGATTTAACCAGAGGAACCTCTCCCTCCTCCACAGAAGGCAGAAATCTTTTTTTAATTCAGCACGGAGTTCTGGTTTCTTTCCCTTGGAGATAGAGCGCCTCCTTCTCACACATGAGTAGCATCCTCCCATAGAGAAGGTAGCAAAGTGTGATTCTAACCACACTTACCCCGGCCCCGTTCTGGACAGTTGGGTCCCAAGCAGTTATGTTGGGTCGGTTGGCCAAAAAGGTCGCTCGGATTTTTTTCCATAAGCTCTAACAGAAAACCCTGAATAAAACATTTGGCCAACCCCATGAAAGCTATAGGACAGAGAGGTGAGAAACAATTAAAAAAAAAATGAGGGCAGGAGGTGAGGATAAGTAAAGAAGGTGAAGAGGATATAGTCCATGGGGTGTGGGAGAACGTCAAAGCTCAGAGAAGGTCTGGGAAGGTCTCAGTAGAGCACAGAGGCTCCAGAGCAGAGTTCTTGCCTGAGGGTCCTGCTGTGTATTGTTGAGGGGTCTGTTGTGACTGCGCAGTCACGGCTTGTTGTGAGACCAGGAACATGGTCCAGGGGGCACACAGGGGACCTCCCTCTCCAGCTAACACAGGGGCTCCGCCCCGCCCGGGGCCAAGGCCACGCCCCCGAGATAAGGAAGCCTTTCCAGCCGTGCCTGGAGGGATGCGCAGGCTCCCTGGGGCGCAGCGCAGTCCGGCAGCTGGAAGACGACGTAGGCCCAGAAAGATGCCAGCCTGGGCGATGGGGGAGGAGCTGGCCGGGGACGGCGGCGAGTGATTCCTGTAGTCGGGCAGGCCGAACAGCTGCCTCTGCAGAGACTCTTTAAACTCCACCCTGGTGAACCCCGCGCGGCCGCATGTGGGAGAGCCCGGGAGGGCAGCATGGCATGCGAGACGCTCCTCCTCCTCCTGGTTTTGTTTCTTCTGGCCCCAGCATGCCGCTGCCCCGGGGCATGCCGGCACACCAAGAGCACTCTCACCCCACGGAGCCAGGTGGAAGCAACGGGCCAACGGAGCAGCAGCCTCCGCCCTCCACTTTCAGCGCCAGCCGCCGCCTCCTGCAGCGCTCACAGCATAGAGCGGGATACACGATGCCCCCGCCTGCGGGTTCAGAGCAGGAGAAGGGCCTGACTTCCAGGCCGAGGAGAGGGGGCCGGAAACCCTTGCCCCAGGGCTGGAGCACCGTCTATCTGGTTTATACCGTTCGCACACAGCCCTGGGAAGTGAAGACCAGCTTGTGTTGTAGGGGGCATGGCTGGTGTGAACAGGGAGGTGGGTTGACGCCCCTCCCAGAGGGGAACAGCAGTCCCTAGGACAGCGAACGCAGAGGGACCTAAGGTTGCCGCCACGTTCCCGGGTCTGTGTGGGGCGTGATATAAATCCGCACCAGGATGGAGACACATGTATGATTTGCCTTGATTAACAGGTTTCCTATTCTTTTCCTGTTTGTCCATTTTGTTTCGTTTCTCTTCTCCTGTTTTCTGTACACTTTTGTTTGTTTTGCCCCCCCCCCCCCCCCCCCCCCCCACCCCCGGGAATGCCTGTTCCCCTCTCCTCCCTGTCTGCATTCTTCCCTGCCGCCCTCCCTGCCCTGCCCCCCGACCCCCACCCACCACCCCCCGCCATGAGCAGTGGCCGCATCCATTACACTGAGATGTATGAAATGCTGACTCTCATGTCACCGCCGCTAGGCCTCGGCAAGAGATGTCCCTCCAAGGTGGCATATAAGGTAGACCACCCCTTCCTTTGTTCTGGGCTAGTGACCAGCAGGAAATGGGATCCCACTGTGGGGAGGTCAGAACGTGGGGGAGGAAGCTGGGCTGGGAACTGTGGGAGGAGGGAACCAAGGAGAAAAGAAATGATGTGGTGCAAGGGTCAGGAATGTTCACAGAAGGATGATACACAAGGTGGTTTGTAAGACTTTAAATGTGTTATTCTGTTTGTACAAGTGTGTGACTTCTTGTGAGTGGGTTACTAGAAAAGAAGTAGCATGTTTCCTTTAAGAGGAAGCAGGGTGGTGGCCTGCAGAATAGCATATTTGGGCAAGAAGGACAGCAGTCAGAGCTTATAAAAAGATCTTCCATCAGGTAAACTAAGAAATAGGAAATAGGCATAAATTCCACTAAACATGGTTCAAGAAGAAATTTTTAGGAGGGAGGAAAACTCTTAACTAATTTCTTCCTCCATGACATAGTGGTATGGTTCCTTCTAGGGATCAGAAAAAAAAAAAAAAAAAAAGAGGAACATAGCCTGCATCCCTTGATACATGATGAAGGATGCAGCTCCCTTCCGCCATTAGCCCAACTACCCATTTTTCATGGCAGTATCAAAGGAAAGGGTGATGATGGGCACAGGCTATGTTCAGCCTTAGGCCTGCCTTCTTGGCAGGACTGAGATATGGATGGACTCCCCTCAGTTCGCTTAGAGCAGCATTGTACATTAGGAGTCCCCAGCCATCAGGGTGCTCAGGGCCTTGGGGCCTGAACTTTTCCTCCACATTCAGTAATGTGTGTGCTCAGTCATTTAGTCATGTCCGACTCTTGCAACCCCATGAACTATAGCCCACCAAACTCCTCCATCCGTGGCATCTTCCAGGCAAGAATACTGGAGTGGGTTGCCATTTCCTACTCCACATTAACACTTACTGTTAATCCCCCATTGCTGTTTAGACTGACTCAGAACTCTGGAGCTCTTTCATTCACCTAGCAATACGCCCTAGCAATGACGCCACTTCTCTGGAAGCCTAAAGCAGTGGGAGAGAGGTGGAACTCAGATACAAACCGTAAACTGGCCTTACACTCTAAGATGCCATATTTGTGGCGTCACATTAGGCGAGATGTTTCAATGGAGTGTTAGAAACCCTGCCTTGGAAAGAGACACTTAACTTCCTGCTAGGCTGGTGGTTCTGCTGGAGGACCTTCTCCTGCTGCTCCCTCCAAGTTTAAAGCTCCAGAGAGCATCTCATTGGAACAGGGAGCATCTATTAGGGACCCTCATCCACCCCACTACATGGCTCCTCCTTTGCAGCTTAGGAGCCAATATCTTTTATGCTCATGATTCCACATCTAACAGGTGATGGACTATATGGTCCTGAGTTCTTTGAATTTCCGGGGTGAAGCTTGGGGCAGAGGCGCCAAGGGTTGTGGGTATCAGAGGAAAAATTCATTCCAAAAGCAAGATACTCTCTGGAAAGTGGATTTGGCCATTTCCATTTGATCCCCTTCCTCCAGGTGAGGGGGACAAGGCCTGCCCACTCTGCTCCTGCCTCGGTCACCCTTCTCTCCTGTCTTCTCTGCTCTCCCCAGCCCTTCCCCTGGACCCTGTTTGCACTGTCTCACTTTTCCATTCTGCTCCACCTCATCCTCTGGATAGGCTGGACTTCTGCATGTTCAACCATGTGCTGGCAATTTAAAGACTCAAAAAGGGGGCATCAGGATGCATCTTTCAAGTCAGATAAGCAAAGTAAAATCTAGCCCTCCCATCACTGTCTTTTCACCTGAGTTTTTGGGAGTCTTCATGGGACAAGTGGGATTGTATAACAGCCCTGAAGCAGGGAATGGAGCCACCTCCCTGAGCTGACTCCTTTCCCTGAGACATTGTTTTTAGGAATCCTGATTAAAGACATTCTTAGGACCCTGGAGGAGTCCTACAGAATGATGAGTCCCTCTTCCCTTGAAATTTGGCATCATTCCCTAGGAAAAAGAAAAAGAAAAAAGCAGCAGCCATTGAGCCTTCAGTGAGAAGCAGGGCAAGAACAGGACTGGGACGGGATGGGGGAATCCTTGCCCTTCTTTTTTGTCTCTGCATCTGACCGCTGCACTTTTCCTCCCTTGTCGCCAAGGTTTTTTTCGATATATGTTTTCTCCTGCTGTTTCTTTTCTCTTTTTCACACAGAGGTTGGTCTTGATGAACATGCCAGTGGCCGAGGACATGACCGTCCACTTCACTTCCACGCTGATGGCTCTGATCCGGACAGCTCTGGACATTAAAATCGCCAAAGGTCAGTAACCTTACGAAGGAAGAAGATTCTGGAACAACTCACCTGGAGTGATGCAGGACAGAGATATTTGAACTTCATCAGACCATGAAGTAACCTGGAGATCAAGTAGTTTTCACCTCTGAGATACAGTAAATGTTACTGTATTATTTAACTTTTACCCTTTCCTCTTAATGAAATGAATGAATTGATATTCACTTAGCTCCTTTGAGCTTTAACAGTATATGATCTTTGATGTCTGGCATATAGTAGAGATTTTAGTAATGTTTGTTGAATGAAAAAGTGAGTTTCAGTTCCTTTTTTTTCTTACATGGTGTCTGCAACGTCTTGGAAGGCTTCTGTGGCCAGTGCTATCATGGCGATGCTTTGTTCCTCTTGATCATTTAGTGATTTAGGAAAGAAAGGATTTGCTACTTCCAGAAGGGCCTCCAGCTTCCTGCTCTTACCTGATCCAAGTCCTTTTTAAAATTGGTTTGCTCCAACCCAGGTTAGATCACTGGAAGAACTGATACACGTATAATGAGGCAGAGGCGGCTGGCTTTTGGCGCTCTGCACTTCCCCTTCTGATATACTGAGCAGCTGGGAGGCTCTGCGAATGAATGAGGAAGCTGATCTTGGTCCCCAGGGCCTCGGTTCTCTGTGGCGGGATTTCCCTGAGTCACTGAAAACAGGAGCCAGAATGTGTTCCCCTTCTTCAGCAGAAAGACCCAGGATTGCAAGATCCACAGTCACTGAGTGCCAAGATTTCCTCCGAGAATATGAGGCGCCGTGCTGACTCAGCCCCTGTCCCATCTCCTCCCTCCGTCCTCGTTATTTCCGTGTCTGTTCGGTTTTCGTTGTTAATAAATGTGTCTCCTCCCAGGTGGTGCAGACAGGCAGCAGCTGGACTCAGAGCTCCAGAAGGAGACCCTGGCCATCTGGCCTCACCTGTCCCAGAAGATGCTGGATCTGCTCGTGCCCATGCCCAAAGGTGCGGGGTCTCCTGGCTATCCTTGTCACTGTAGGCCCAGCATGCCAAGACCACATCTTTGGGGGGAACTGGAGTAATCAAGGAGATAAGGGAAGGGTCTCTTTTATTCTTAGGAAACAGAAATCCCTCACTTCTCAAGTCCCTTTTGTCATTGAAATGTTTCTTTTTGCTTATTGAAGTATTGTTGGTTTACATTGTTAATGTCTGCTATATAGAAAAGTGAGTCAAGTATACATATATTCTTTTCCATCCCCGTGCTATACTAGCCTTGTCATTTATCTATCGTATATAGACAGACAATACTCTGCTATACTAACCCCAGACTCCCAATCCTTCCTTCCCCTTTGGCAACCCCAAGTCTATACTGTGTCCATGGGTCTGCTGCTTTTTTACAGATAGGTTCACTTATGCCATTTTTAGAATCCATATAAAGTGATATCATATGATATTTGTCTTTCTTTTTCTGACTTAAGTGTGATAATTTCTAGTTGTATCAGTGTTGCTGCAAATGACATTATTTCATTCTTTTTATGGCTCTGTAATATTCCATTGTGTAAATGTACCACAGCTTCTTTACCCATTCATCTATGGATGGACATTTAGGTTATTTCCATGTCTTGGCTATTGTGAATAGTGCTGTTATGGACATAGGGGTGCATGTTTTATTTTTGAAGTATAGTTTTGTCTGGATATATGCTCAGGAGTGGGATTGTTGGATCATATGGTGGTTCTGTTGTCAGTTTTCTGAGGAAGCTCCGTTCTGGAAAATGATTTCTTAAGATGGGTCACTGTGATTGTGGGTGAAACTTCTTGGGTGCACAGCTCTATCCTCCCACGTGACACAGTTCAGCAAACCTTCAAGTGGTTGGGGAAAAGGTGCTGTTGCTGAGAGATGGAAATCAAGACCATTCTGGGGGTTGGGGGTGGTGCTTACTAATGTGTTTCTTATCGTTAGTAACAGGACCCTGACTGGGTGGCTGTGGAGGTGCCTTAGGGATGGCTCTGGGGACCTGTTTACTCCATATCCTCGGTGCCTGGCACAGATGAAACCCTCCATTAATGTTGGATGGCTGGGTAGTGAAAGGGGCAAACCTGCTTCCCAAGCGTCCTTACTCTCTCCCCATCTTCTGTTTCCCTCCACGCCACACTGGTGTCCTCAGCCTCTGACCTGACTGTGGGCAAAATCTATGCAGCAATGATGATCATGGACTACTACAAACAGAGCAAGGTGAAGAAGCAGAGGCAGCAGCTGGAGGAACAGGTGAAGGTCAAGGACAGACTGTGTGGTGGGTGGGTGGGCCCCTGAGGGGACAGGCCAGTGCATCCCTGGGGGACAGTGCCCCGCAAGTGCATCCAAGCAGAGGCCAGGCCTTGCAGGGCCCAGGAACTGCCTAGGATCGGGGGATTAGAACCCCCGTGGGGCAGAGGTTCAGTAGTCACACAGGTATCAGTCATATTCCCATTTTACTCAAGTCGCTGGTGTTTCCCCCACAGTCGTTTGAGTTCCTTTTTCCTCCTTTCCACTTTTACCACAGAAAAATGCACCCATGTTCCAGCGCATGGAGCCCTCGTCTCTGCCTCAGGAGATCATCGCTAATGCCAAAGCCCTGCCTTATCTCCAGCAGGACCCCGTTCCAGGCCTGTGAGTATAACCAGAACGCCCACCGCTCGTCTGCTTGCATTGTCAATTGTGTCATCAGGCAGACCCACAAATTCGTTGCCTAGAAGTGCCCAAGAAATAACCCTAACTCTGAGACGAGTGGATGCGCCCCTCTCTGAAATTGAGAAGACAACATGTTGTATCTTTTTTTTTTTAAACTTTCTATGGTAGCCCTTTTAATCTTTTATATTTTTATTTATTTACTTAGTTTGGGTTGAGCTGGGTGTTCTTTGCCGTTGTCGGGCTTTCTCTAGTTGCGGCGCACTGGTTTCTCATGGAGGTGGCTTCTCTTGTCGCAGAACATGGGTTCTAGGGAGCGTGGGCTTTGTTGCCCCATGACATGTAAAATCTTCCCTGACCAGGGATCAAACTCATGCATTGTCAGGTGGGTTCTTAACCACCAGGCCAGCAGAGAAGTCCAACGTGTTGCGTCTTAAAATGGCTATTCAGCGGGGAGTAAGAGAAAAGCAGACTGAGCAGATATTGGTGCTATTGCTGTGGCCAGCTCGAGAGAGAAGGAGCCCTGTGAATGGCCAAAGGAAAAAGGGGCTGTATTAGTATCACCACTTTACAGTGAAGAGGCTGGTGGCTCAGAGAGATTCATTAAGTCATCCAAAGCCAAGTGGCTGATAGGACACCGAACTGGAATTTAAGTCCATTACTTCCAAGCCCAGTCTTCCCTTTACACTGTGTTATCTGAAATGAGCAAGAAGAACTTTTATCAGGCAAAACATTTTTTGATTTTCTATGTTGAAAGCAGAAACAAAACTCTAATTGAGAAGTGTACCAGCTCTCCTGAGTTGTAAGCCTTAGCCCCAAAGTGGCCATGAATCATAAAGATTTATTATACATACCTCATTATAACACTCTCTCTCATCACAAGCCCGTAGTGAGTACTCAAAAGGCATGAGTCCATCTTTCCAACGTAAATGGCATTTTGTGGTTGGTGGTGCTCATGGTAAAGAATCCACTTGCCAATGTAGGAGACATAAGAGATCTGGGTTCAATCCCTGGGTGGGGAAGATCCCCTGGAGGAGGGCATGGCAACCCACTCCAATATTCTTGCCTGGAGAATCCCTTTGACAGAGGAGCCTAGCAGGCTACACGACCTCAGGGTCGCAGAGTCGGAAACGACTGAAGCGATTTAGTGTGCCCGTGATTAGTGGATTTTTTTTTCCAGTCTAGCTTCTATGGAACCAATAAATCACTAAATATCATCACCTCTTCAGTAATTATCAGAGGAGTGAAATCCCAGGCTTGGGAATGAGACCTCTGTCAGAACACCGTTTGAAACCTCTTATACCATGAATTTCCTTCTCCCTGTGGTGTTGGAGATCTGTTTTTGAAAAGCAGTTTTCGTAGGTCACAATCCACATTTGAAAGTGAAGAAAGATGACCAGGGTGGTCGGTCATTTTTACAAAAACATGTGATGTGTTGAAGTAGCAGGTGTGGATTCTCCTGTCTACAGAAAACAAGTTCATGTTTCTTTTTGGTCTTTGCAGAAGGGTCAAGAGGTATGATTAGAGTGCTAGTACTATCTTCTTGGAAGAGTTTAGGGTGTTTTTCAAGGGTCTTTGGCTTAGAAATAGAGGAAACCATCCCTCATCTAGATCTGTTTTGCCATGATTTGCTGTGCAAACTATAACTCCCACCATTGGACTATCCCAGCCTATCTCCCATATGTTTATTGATTCATTTATTCATTGATTTGACCAATATTTACTGAGAGTCAATGTAACCCAAAAAACTGGTTTAGTCACTGGGGATTCAGTCAACATGATCACAGTTTCCATAGACACAGTCCTTGAAATAGAAATTACAAAAGTGGTAACAGTTAAAATGTGTGTGTGTGGCAGGGGGTCGGGGTGGGGGGGACGGTCGGCTATTGTGATGCTGTGTAAAGGAAGCAGCTCACATAGTTTGAGGATTTGAGGAAGCTTCCCTGAGGAAGCAACATTTGAGTAAGACTCAGAAGCAAGCACTTCAAGAGATGAAGTAAGAGTCAGGTTAAGTTTAAGGAACCTAAAAAGTGTCATGATGGATGGTGCACACAGAGGTCAGGGGAAGTGGCAGGTTTGGCAGGGCTAGGAGACAGAAGTTTAGTTTCATCCAAGGGTAATGGGAGATACAGTCATCAGAGTGATGTGATCAGGTTTCAGCTTTCCAAAGGTCATTCTTTAGTCCGGTGTGGGCTCAGCGGATTGGAGGGAGACAGTTTGAGAGATGGAACATCACCTAGTACATGGCTGCAATTGTGTGAATTATTAAAGACTGTGGCTTGGATTAATAGGAAATGGCGAGAGAGAGAGCCAGACTGGAGAGGTAATTCATACACAGAATGGGTCTGAATGGTGACTGATTGGCTACATGGCATGAAGAGGGGGAAGGAATCAAAGATGACCTTTGGGTTTCTGGTTTGAGCTTTCGGTAGATGATGGTCCATCTCCTGAAATGGAGACATTCATGGAGCAGCGCTCGTGTTCCTCGGGACCAGCTGTGTTTCTCGAGCCCTGTAGTGTTCAAGTAGTGATTGCTCTGGGGGCAGCGCAGTGAACATGACTGGGCTCCTCTCTCACTGAGTTTACACCTGGTAGGAAAACAGACATGAAGCAGAATTATCAGAAAGAAAAAAAACTTGTCATTTCCGATGATTTAATCACAATTTTAGTAAGTACTAGGATGGAAAAAAATGCATGATGATCAGAGTGCGTGTGGGCGAGGGCTCTGACCAGTGTATCAGATAAGATTTCCTCAAGGAAGTGACTTGTAAGAAAAATTTTGAAGGATAAATTTAAAAAATGGCTTGCAAGGGACTGGGTGTTTGAGAGGCATGCTGTATGCTGGGAACAGCCTTTCTTAAAGTCCTGAGGCAGAAAAGGAGTCTTGCACATTCAACCAAATGTGGTTGAGAGCCCAGCATATTGGACTTCAGGGAGTAAGGGAAAGTTATGCAAGAGGAGAGGCTTTCTTTGTAGCTCAGTTGGTAAAGAATTTGCCTGCCGCTGAAACGTGTATTACCATACGTGAAATAGATCACCAGTCTAAGTTCAATGAATGAAACAGGGCACTCAAAGTCAGTGTGCTGGGATGGCCTGGAGGGATGGGATGGGAGACACATGTACACCCGTGGCTGATGCATGTCAATGTATGGCAAAAACCACCACAATATTGTGAAGTAATTAGCCTCCAATTAAATTGATTTTTTAAAAAAGGAAAGGAAAGATTCACAACAGAGGGAAAAAAAAGAATTTTCCTGGAGACCCGGGTTTGATTCCTGGGTCAGGAAGATTCCTCTGGAGAAGGAAATGGCAACCCACTCCAGTATTCTTGCCTGGAGAATCCCGTGGACCGAGGAGCCTGCTGAGGCTATTCAACTGAGCGACTAAACCATGCAAGAGGAGGATGTTCAGGCCTCTAGACTCTTTCCTAACAACACTGAGGAGCTGGACAAGGTTTTCAAAGTAAGAGGTCACTCAGCATTCAAATTCGTCAAGTCTAGAATGTTGTTCAGTGATTTTAAGGGTCCTCTCTACAGTTACTCATTTTCTGTAGGACAGAAAGGGCCCATTTCCTGTAGAGCTGTGCTCGTCTGTTCCCTGTGTTTCTCAAGCCAAGGCCCGAGGAGGAGGAGGATTGACATTTGAGCAGTTGTTTCAATAGCAGATGGCTCTCTAGCAGTTGTGAAAATTCAGCAGACGCCCTCACCGGTGGCAAGGGGACAGGTCGGGTGAAAAATCTGCTCTTCAAATTTTCCCCTGTGCTCCCAGTCTATTGAATTACTTGTAAGTAATTGGCAGTCCTCGCTCAGGCCTCAGATTTTCCAGTGGGTTCGAGAGTCACATAGCAGCAGGCTCTGCAGCGGCTCTTCCCATCTCATCTCTCCCTCCTGACCCCGCTGCCACGGAGAGCCGCTGCCGCGCCACTGGCCACGTCCCTCTTCTCGAGATGAGGAAGCTCAAGCTGCGTGCTTGCTTAGGGCAAAGGGGGTCCGTAGCAGTGAATGGCAGCAGCAGCGGTGGGCATGTTCTCAGGACAGGTTCTTGGCTGCCTCTTTTTTTTTTCCTAACCAGCTGGGTGGATCTCATTGGCTGACAGTGTCTGCAGGTACCTGACGATGGTTTACTCATAGGCACACTGCAACAGGTCTCTGCACTTTTCATTCAGAGGCCCCTAAACACCTGGCCAACTTTGTCTCTGTCCTTTACCTCATCGCCATTGAAGCATCCTCCTCCATAGCCATTGACCCAGATGTTGTCACCTCTTCAGTATCACCTCTGACATCATTCCACCCAGATCATAAGCCAACAGACACAGTATGTGGTACAGAGCAATCCTTCAGTAAATGTTCATGGCATTCAGTTGTTTCATTTGGCCATGGATGTTGGCACAATAGAACCATACTCTTACTGAGAGTGGAGGGAATTTCTTAAAAGACCATGACTGCTTAATATTTAAACAAACTGTTCACTGTTTAAACTATGGCATTTTTCTGCCGAATGAAGAAGCTGAGCAGAAGCAGGTTTACAATCTAGCATTGGTCTTCCATATGGCTGAGTGTGACAAATGATGTCATTTGTCACAGATATGCCAGTCGCCAGCAAAATGATGAATCATTCCAAACGCAGGTTGAAAACAGTGGTTTCTCTTTTCCAGTGTGTTTCCCGCCCCCCGCCCGCCAGGGCTAGCCACCTGTAAGTTGACAGGCTTACAAGCTAGCCAAGGCTAAAGGGTATTGCCCTTGCTGGGAAGAAAGTCTTGTCTGGGTGGGAATTAGTAATGGCAGTTATGTCATGACTGTTTCTCTCTCATGCACACATTACCTCTGAACATGGCATTGCTTTGCAGGAGTGGCCGGAGTGCATACCCTTCGATGAGTCCACTCTCCCCGCAGGAAATATTCCAGTTGGCCTGTATGGACCCAGCTGATGATGGACAGTTCCAGGAACAACAATCTCTGGTGAGTGAATTCAAAAATTACTTCCTTGGTTTCCTGATCGCTCCCACTCTTTTTTCTTTTTTTTTTCACCTTCTATTCCATATCCATGATCCATCAAGAAAAAAAGCCCTGATAAACCAACCAATTACCCTGGGAGTTCCCTGCCATCTCCACTTTCCTGGCTGAGTTTCTCATATTCTCTGACAAATGCTCCCTCTTCAGGTTTTAAAACCCCAGAGGCCCCTTACCTGCTGCAGGAACTTATAATACTCCAGGCCACGCTCTCTTAGTTTGTGTCCCTGGGCTTCACATGGAGAAATAGAAGTAAAATGAAATCGTACCTTTGATTGGGAGCCTTAGGATGAGTCAACATAAGAATGAGTGGCCCTAACCAGGCAGAGTCATGTGGTCTAGGAATGCCACCTGCCTCTTGGAGAATTCAGGGGTGGTCTGTATCAGTGACTAGCTGTCTGCTGGGAGATACAGAAGAATCTTATGCCTCTGCTCTATGTGGGTTCAGGAAAATTGGCCCTTGTGGTGACCATTCTAGAAGTTCAAATACATTCAAAGAGGTCCCTAAGATCACACTCGTGAACCTAAAGATTTTCATCAGCAGAAATGGGCAAAATGTCTAAGAACTCTATTGAATAGAGTTTAAACTTAGAGATAAGAGGGCAGATGGAATTTTGGATTTTACTAATACAAAGCTAAAATAGGATTCCCAGAGATGACAGACTTTACTATTATTAGTTCAGAAGCCGTGAGGTCAAGTTCCCTCTGGAGCTTTGAATTAAAGCCCAGGTGCTGATTGGTCTGGAGAGAAGAAGGGGTGAAACCTGACCACTGCAATAGTCTATATAGACAGTTTAAGTGAGTTCCATGTCACTTAGATTCTGATGCACCTGTGTTCTTCTCACCCCTTCATTTTTCCCCTGACCCCTCCCAGGGTATGCCTCTGCATACCCCAGAGCTTCCCAAATGAATGTGTGGATGGAGTGTGGGTAAGGCCTGCTTGTGGGTGGCATGTCTGATGGGATGGGTACCCTTCGGAAGAGAATAGATACTTCAGTAGCACCGGCACATGAGTGATTCCATTTCCTGTGACTGAGGAAACCTGGAATTATGCATGGCTGTACTGGGGAGACCACCAGACCAGAGCCTCCCCTCTCATTGTGTGAGTGGCAGCCTGCAGGTGTTCTTGGTAAGGTAGGTAAAAATCCTTGGAGTAATTCCCTGCATTCCTGTCTGAGGAAATTAGCACCAAGGCCCTGGCCTAAGTGGTACAGACAGTTTAAAGGGACCTCTTATCATTTTATGGCTTGCCTGGCGGTGTGTCTGCTAAGAAAAATCTCAATACTGTGTTCTTTCTTTCACAGGGAGGCTTTATTACGTCATCCTTCCTGCAGGTCCCACAGGGCTGAGCTGTAGTGCCAGGACTTTCTGGATCTATGTTCATCTCATTGTCAGTCCTGGTGTCTGTAACCCAGTTCAGGTGTCAGCCCGTGCTACACGCTCACCGCTGTGTACTCCTGCTCCATGTCCTGGGGCATGGCTGTGATCTGTGTATGTCTTGCACCACCTCTGACACCCATAGACTGCAGTATCGTTACCACACAGACTGCAGCATTAGCACATCTGTTTCAGGTTGGACATGTGTACTATATAAAGCATACAATGCAAACACCATAACTTCCTCAAGTGCACATATCCTGTCCCATGAAGGCAGTGCTTCCCATTCATACCAGGGACCCCTCAGCCAAGGGGGATCTTAAACACCCTTACCTTTAACAGTACCCTACTCATATATCCATGTTTTTAGGGTGTCATTTCCTAAATATAAAATGCTCTTTTTCTGGTATAATCTCCAGATGTCCAAAATATTCCTAGCTCTCTTTGTTGGGTAGCCAGTATAAACATTTTTAAAGCAGCTCTACTCTTTATGCAGTGATACTAGCTGTCTATATAGAGCATGTACATTTGTCAAACTAACTTTCCTTAACCAGGAAAATTAAATGATTTTGGCAGGAATCTAGAGGTTTCCAATCCAACTTATTAAAGCTCTCAAATGCTCTCATAGTCCAGTACAATAGCTACTGCCCACATGTGGTAACTGAACACTTATGACATATCTCAGTTTGGACTAATCACATTATAAGTGTCATAATATGTCATAATCATATTTTTATATTGATTATATGTTGCCATGAGAATATTTGTATATATTGGGTTAAACAAAATCTATTGTTTCATATTTATTTTTGCTTTTTAAAATGTAATTACTAGGGAATTTTAAATTACATAAGTGGTTTGCAGTATATTTCTATTGGACTGCACCAGTCTAGAGCACTCTTGAAAGATGGCTACCCACACCCTTTTTTGGTTTTAATCATAGGAAAGCTCTTAAAAGCATGTCTTAAGATTTCAGAAATTCCGGGATGGGGAATACAGGTAAATCCGTGGCTAATTCATTTCAATGTATGACAAAAACCACTGCAATGATGTAAAGTAATTAGCCTCCAACTAATAAAAATAAATGGAAAAAAAAAAAAGATTTCAGAAATTGGTAACTTTCCTTAAAACACTGCTTTCTATTTAATTGTCTGTAGATTAAAAGAATAAACCCAACACTAGCAACTTACAGAAAGTAAATTTCATAAAGTGGTAAGATCTGATGTATTATTTAGTAATAATTAAGATGGTCCTTAACTAGAAAAGGTGATCTTTACCCCTCAATCCTAGTTAGAATTTTCTGTTTTGGGACATCTGGTATACCACATATGTGCGCACAGAAACACAAACCTATATACACCTACAACTGAGATCTTAGAGATGGATGTCTCTCTTCTGAAAGCCATTCTTCATATGGAGGAGGCAGAATCATCCACTGAAAGTGAGAAGCTATGGGATGGAACCAAGTCCCACAAGCTTGGCTGTGTGTTTATTTCTAGGAGCCAGAGGTTAGTGAATTAAAAAGCGCGCAGCCCTCTAACCATGGCATCTACCTTCCTTCGGACACCCAGGAGCATGCGGGCTCTGGGAAGGCATCCTCTATGCCACGCCTGACTGTGGATCCCCAGGTAAAAGGCAACCACCACTACTATTCAGTGGCATCCTGGGCTGTGTTGAATTGGTGGGTTACGAGAACACATCTAACATCTTCAGGTGAGCCCTTGACTTGCTCCCACGCCTCTCTAAGAGCTGACTCATGGGCCTTCTGTGGAGCATGCTCCTCCACACTGTGTTTCCAATGACAGTCTAGCCACAACAGGTCAGCCAGCAAAAGGGGGGGGCCTCTGGATGGGCTCCACATCCTCACAACTCCACTGGTTAGGCAAGAAATACTCTCCAGGATGTTCCCCATGGGTTTTTCCTTCCTTTTCTCTGTTCCTGGCTCTTCTAGCACACACGCAGTTACTTACACACACAGCTCTGTGTCAGGACTGTCTGTCCTAACCAGCACAGACCACACCTCATTCCTTTGTCTGTTTTCCTGGCTTCTTTTTTTCTGTCTGTCTGTCTTACATCAAAGTTTTGACAGAGACAAGAAATTTTTGTGGATCTGTTTTAATATCTGTGGCAAATCAAACTGCCCGAGTTTACTGTGGAGCTGGGGTGGGACTGAGGGAGAAAGCAATGCATTCTCAGGAGCCTTGCGGTATCTATTCAGTTACCAGCTCTCCTAAGCTCTAGCGCTGTAGGGCAGCGCCTTCTCTGAGGAGAGCAAGATACAAAAAGGCAAAGCCATGCCTCTTGCATCGTGGAGATTTTCTGACAGTAGCCCTCACTCATTTCAAAGCAGCTCAAGGTTCATGGCAGGTCCTGGCTGGGTCCCAGGGGTAGATGGCTCTGGGCAGCTTGCAGAGGACACTTAGCTCCCTGCTCCCCTGAGCATGACGAGGAGCGCTGCAACAGCCCGGTGACCATGTTAACGTAAAGATGCTTTCTGGAACAGCCTCCTCCAGCATAAGGTCTGAACAAGAGGTAGTCGCAAGAGGTGACAGTTGGCAATCTTCAGCCATCTAAGTCTTCTGTCTTCCTTACTTTTAGACTATTTCAGTAATTAACCCATACCTTGTGTTCCTGGGTGGGGCGGGGGCTTATGTTTCCAGGTGGTGACAGACCCCAGCTCCATGAGACGTTCATTTTCCACCATTCGCGATAAGCGTTCGAATTCCTCGTGGCTGGAGGAATTCTCCATGGAGCGAAGCAGCGAAAACACCTACAAGTCGCGACGCCGGAGTTACCACTCCTCCCTGAGGCTGTCAGCCCACCGTCTGAACTCTGACTCAGGTGAGAGGGTCTTCACTCTCTGCGGTGCTCCTGCTCTTGAAGGGATGATCCTGACAAGAACTAAAAAATTATGGCAACAGAATCCAGATAAAAGAGGTTCCCTATCTGACTCACATCATGAAACACAGCAACAAAACTCTCCCTAGTCATCACAGAGGCTAATGAGATTTCTTTCTGCCAGACCAGGCTGTAGAAATCATGAAAGTGGAGGTTTCTCAAGGGCCTTCTACAAACCACTCCTCTGCCTTAGGGATGTATGAGAGACCCCCTGGCAGGCGCTGGGTTTCACCCACCAACTCCACTTCAACCCTGACAATGCTACCTGGAATCAGTTTATGTATTTGAGTTTTATGTTTTAAGGGAAGGGGTCATGTTGATAAAAACAGAAAATCACTAGTTTGGTTCAAGCTGTTCTTGAGCCAAATAGCTATTCAAGCTGTTTCTTCATTTTACTAAATGAAAAAAGAAAGATAAAAAACCAATGACATGCCCCATATCATAGGGCAGGTGAGTGGCAGAAAAGGAGGACTGTAACCTGCCAGACTCCTCTATCCATAGGATTTCCCAGGGAAGAATACTGGAGTGAGTTGCCACTTCCTCCTCCCGGGGATCTTCCTGAGTAGAAGTGAAATCCTTTGATTTCAGTCTCAGGACAGTACAGTAACTATATCCATTATTTCATTCACAGAAGCTTCTTAATTCCCTTCCCGTAATGCCATTTTCGCCCTAAAAAGTTACACACCCGTGTTTAAGACATAGAGGATTCCTGGGCCACACTGCTGGAAAAGATTCTACCTTAATTTTATCTAGCACCAACAGAAGCAGAAGAGAACAGTTGCATCCTTGGATCTGTAAGTCTTTCCAGTGACAACTTGCACACTTACCTCTTCACAAAAGGTTAATTTTCCAGCCTTTCTCTTCTGCCTCCCTTTCAGATCACCTGTTGACATGCCTGCCAAAGTCAGTGTCCTTGATAGGCTCAGTCCCAGGCTTTAGTTGTTCAGCAGCCAGGATGGGCAGAGTCAGGATTCACTCCTTTTTCATCTCTCATAGGCCACAAGTCCGACACTCACCGCTCAGGGGGCAGAGAGCGGGGACGATCGAAAGAGCGAAAGCATCTTCTTTCTCCCGACGTCTCCCGCTGCAACTCCGAGGAGCGAGGGACCCAGGCTGACTGGGAGTCCCCAGAGCGCCGTCAGTCCCGGTCTCCCAGTGAAGGCAGGTCACAGACCCCCAACAGACAGGTGAGCGTGGAGAGGAAGCCAGGCCAGGGTGGGCTTTTAACCCTAGATGCAAAATGTGTGTGTCCAGCACTCACACAGACCTCACCTTCACAGGAAACTATATCCATTGTGCAGAGGTTAGCTCCTTAATACTTATGGGTTCAGAAATGATATAAATTCACAGAAAATCAGAGAGTACCCCAAGAAAGACAGTGGTGTCTAGGGGTCAGTCTGACTGGGTACTCAGAATTCAGAGGAAAGGAAGGTTTTTTAAGGCAAAAAATTTCTTTGACTAATTGTGTGATCCTTAGTATTGGTTGGAATGGTGATTCCTCTCTCAACACAGGACACAAAAGATCAATTCAATTTCATTTATCTAGCTTCCAGCCATCCCAAGAGGAAGACCATCTCTCCTTCTGCCCTGTTGCTAAAACAAAGCCCAGTCTAAGAAATAGCTACCAGAGCTGTGTGAAAACATTCCCTGGCCCTGTTTTCCTCCTCACCGCCATCCCTGGCTCCCTGCCTTACTTCACTCCAAGGCTGTCAGAGGCCAGATGGCAGACCCACTCAGTGGCAATGGGGAAGAGGAAGGGCTTCCATAGACAGCTTTTAGAGGCTGTTGAGAAGGGTACTTCTAGAGCAGTGGTGGTGAGTTTCAGTGCAGAATGGAATCACCTGGGCTTGTTATAACTGCACATTCCTGAGACCTTCTGCTTCAGCAGTGACACCCATTGGAAAGGAGAACCCAGAAATCTCCACTTGGAAGGACCCAAGAATCTCCAAGAAGATCTCGAGCAGGTGGTTCCTAGGTCACACAAACCTTGAGAAATGCCTCCCTGGAGGTCCATTTACTGGCTCAGGGACCTTGGGGACTAGGTGAGCAGGTCAAGTCAGGCCTGAACGAGCAGATGTAGTAGCTGGGTATACAAGCTGAGCTAACCTCAGCATACCAATGAAAACACAGATGCAGAAGAAGATGAGGGAAGGTATTCACCATGTCCTGAGATCCAATTTCCAAGAACTTACCCCAGAAAGAGCAACTCTGGGGCATTCATTCCCCTTCATGGAATTGTCTTTCCTAAAACTTCAAGGCTTTCTTTTAGCATGCCACATGATAGAGAGAGCTTTCTGAATCTTTGCTACTCACTGTGTTTATTCCATGGAACCCACATCTGAGAGTGTGTTGTTAGTAGAAATGAAGGATCTCGGGCCCGAGCCAGACCTTCTGATGCCAGAGATGCATGTGTGCTTATTGCTCAGTTGTTTCTGACTCTTTGTGACCCCAGGGACTGTAGCCCACCAGGCTCCTCTGTCCATGGGATGTCCCAGGCAAGAATACTGGAGTGGGGTGCCATTTCATCCTCCAGGGGATCTTCCTAACCCAGGATCAAACCTGTGTCTCCTTCATTGCAGGCGGATTCTTTACTCGCTGAGCTATCAGGGAAGCACAGAGATGTGTAAGCGTAATGAAAGTTGATGCGCCCAGTAGTACTGGCTCCTCAGTCTCCTTTCATCTCTGCATCCCTGAGTGGCTGTGATTCGTACTGCATTGGCCAAAAAGTTCGTTTGGGTGTTCTGTTACATCGTAATGAAAACCCTGGACGACCTTCTTGGCCAACCCAATAACAGGGGGGGTTCCAGTGGCTCTCGGTAGGAGGGGTTAGAGAGCTTAATCGGGTCCCAAGTAGGGAGGATGCCAAACCCAGGCTAACGTGCCGTGTTTCTCCCGCCACACAGGGCACCGGGTCCCTGAGTGAGAGCTCCATCCCCTCCATGTCCGACTCCAGCACCCCACGGCGAAGTCGGCGGCAGCTCCCACCGGTCCCTCCCAAGCCTCGGCCCCTCCTTTCCTACAGCTCTCTGCTGAGACACACTGGGAGCATCTCCCCACCAGCTGATGGGAGCGAGGGTGGCTCCCCACTGACCTCCCAAGCTCTGGAGAGCAACGACGCCGGCCTGCCCGAGTCTTCCAACCCCCGGCAGGGCCACCCTTCCCCACAGCGCTACATCTCCGAGCCCTACCTGGCCCTGCACGAAGACTCCCACGCCTCGGACTGCGGCGAGGAGGAGACACTCACCTTTGAGGCGGCCGTGGCCACCAGCCTGGGCCGGTCCAACACCATCGGCTCGGCCCCGCCCCTGCGGCACAGCTGGCAGATGCCCAACGGGCACTATCGGCGGCGGAGGCGCGGGGGGCCTGGACCGGGCATGACGTGCGGAGCTGTCAGCGACCTCCTGAGTGACACGGAAGAAGACGACAAGTGCTAGAGGCTGCTCCCCCCTCCGATGCATGCTCTTCTCTCACACGGAGAAAAACCAAGACCCGAATTGGGAAGCCAGTGCGGCCCGGGGGGGAGGAAGAGGGAGGAAGGAGCTGGAAGGACACCGCGCAGTTATCAGAGGAGAGGAAGGGAAGGACAGAAGGCAAACCACTCAAACCCACCAAATCGCTGTATTTCCCTTTGCAAGATGGGCACTGCCATAGTTCTGCCTCTTTGCTGGGGAAAGAAAAACACAAGAACCACGGAGGGTTACTCCCAGGGGAGAAGGGACACGCGGATGGCTTTGCCTCCCCTTGCCCCCTTCCCAGTTTTCTACAGCCGTTGGGGGAAATCGAGCCAGCCTGTGTCTGTGCCCATTGCCCTGAGAAGCCCTGGAGATGTTCTGGCTCTTCACCGGGGGAGTCGTGGAGACCCCGGGAGAGGAATCGCCTCCCTCACCAGCTCTTCCTCCTCAGCCAGCACCACGGCCACCGGGCCGCCGCGACAGCATCTCACGCGTTTCCCTGTGGCTTGCTTCCCCGCAAGGAGCACAGGCTAAGTTCAGGAGCATCGGATGTCAAGGGTGGGAGGCACAGAGGGAGGGGAGCGGCGAAGGGGAAGGGGTCGGGGTGCCGTGATGGCAGCAGCAAGGGCTGGTCTGAATGAGCCAAGCCATAGTCCGGCAGCCCTCACTGTCGAGGCAGGGGCGCTGGTCGCTACAGTCCTGTCTGAGCCTGTCACCCGCTCAGGAGGTGCTGTGTTCATTAAGATAGAGGCTAAGAGGTTCCCCCTAGTCCAGGAAGGTGCCTGAGGCACTCTGGTGAGGGTGATATTCTCAGAGTATGGAACAATCGGTGTGGCCAGGACACCAGATGATGAGAACAGAGGTCAGCCTTAGCGCTGACGCCCCATGCCACAACAGGCCTCAGTCTGGGAGATGCTGGGCACAGGGGAGCCCTGAGAGGGGCTAAGCGTGGTGGAGGCACTTCAGGGACTCAGCAAGAGTCAGTTTTCCAACGACTATGGAGGTAATTCGGTATGTGGAGCGGGGCGGCACTGTCTCGCACATACTGGCTGAGTGTGAGCCCAGACTTTGGTCTACGAGCCAGGCCCATGTCGTGCCAAGGCCAGTGAGCCCCAGTGCCAAGGACCTGGCCACCCCCACCTATATAAGGTGGGCTACACCTCACCTGCTGGGGACTTCCGTAGAGATGAGAAAGGCCAAAACCAGAGATGCTTCGATGAGAGAATCAGTTTACTGAGGTGTTCCTGTGAGGGAGGGACCCTCGGACGGGCCGCTTCTGCAGCTGGTGTGTGGTTGAGGATCAGTCTGTCAGGATACTTGGAGGTGATGAGTAAATATACCTCAGGGCTGCTGCTTCTAGCCAAGCAGGCTCCGGTGGGGCCTCAGAATACAAAGTAATAGGCCCCGGGGTCCTGAACAGCCCCCTGGGAGTGACCCCTCCCCGGAGTAGGAGCTGAGCAGAAGACAACCTCAGGACCTTGTTCCTAACCCCCCAAACTCAGAAGCATTGAGAAAGAGCGCCCTTTCTTGACCGATCCGTGCTCCTCTCACTGTATCGATTACCCATTTGGGGACCATCCCTTTACACCCCTCTCCAGTTCCCCAGCAGCATCACCACTAGGTGGAAGGATTTCCTGGAGGCGGGGTACCAGGCAGGGCCCTCCTCCCCCAACCAGGAGCGGATGGAGCCTGCCTCCCGGGGCTTTGCCCGGGGAGACTCAGAGGCTCCCCGGCTGAGATTACAGCAGATAAATACTCTTACTTCACCTCTTAGGTAGGAGCAGTCGGTGGCTGTTATTTTTCTTAGGAAATGGGGGTGGTTTGTTTTGTTTTGTTTTTTGGCTTTGTTTTGTTGTTAAAAAAGAAATAAGGTATCATCGTATCAGCTCTGAAAAGCCAGATTCAACGCTGTGGCTGCAGAATCACTTGTGATGGCTCTGCCTTCTGCCCTAGACAGGGATGGCGCTTCCTGGCCGCAGTCAGCCCCCAACCAAAGTAGTCCCCCCGGCAGGAGACCAGTGAGGCAGACACATAGGCCACCCGCCCTGAAGCACTGTTTTCCCTTTCCTGTCCGGCTCAGCACATGTGTGCGCCCCGGGGGTCATTGGGATTGGGACCGTGTAGCACCCAGACCCTAACAGGCTGGGTTGTAACCTGGGACTCAAGATGCGGGGCCTTGTGCTGTCTTAAAGGTTTCCTCCGCGCAGTGTCATTTCCTGCCCAAGTGCTGCTATTATGGGCTGCTTTGCACAAAACTGCTTGCTTCCATCTTGGCAATGCAGCTTTTCCAGCGAGCTTGTCGCACTGTGTTTTGAGAAAGGGCGTTGAAATGACCCCTACGCCATGGCGACAGGAGACATGGAGGCTGGCAAAATTACCAGAAATGGGATTTGCCTGCACATGACATTACAGACACTCAATGTGCTGTGCCGGGAAGCCTTCCTGGACATCTGCACTCCTTCACCTCACATCCGCACGAGCACCTGGTCCCAGAGAGGGGGGCATCGCGCGCTGTAGATGCAGGTCCCTGACCAGCCCCCTGGGCTTTTTTTTAGTGCACATGAACTTACCAAGCATCTCTTTTATTCCACTTCCCCTGACCAAGAAATCAGGTTCCTTATCCTTTAGCCTGCATTTGCCCTTCTGTTAAGACCAGAAAATAAAAGACAATTTTCTCTTAAGTCACGGAACATATTAGCATAATCTTATAATGGTTTCCTTCCACCTCTGAATAAATATGAACCCAAACCTTGCCTGTCACAGCCAACCAGGAGATTCATTCCTGGGTATCAGATTCTGCCTCTCTCCCTTGAGAAGAGGCCCCCTTTGGATCGCAAAACCTCTGCGCTTCTCTGCATTAAAAAGTATGGCAGCATCTTGAAAAATTTCACGTGGACCACCACCGTGCTTGAGGTACACAGCGTGATCAAGCTTAGCACTGTAGGTCCCCTCAGAAGAGTTTTTAGCTACATGTCCAGTTTCCTTTGCTAATATGAGTCTTCAGGATCCCCTCAAAATAAGAAGGGAGGTGATGGGGAAAGGAAGGAGGAAAAAAAGGAAAGAGAAGGAAAAGAAACCAAGGCGGAGAGAGATTCTAACTAGCTTTGTGTAGATACTCCTCTCTTCACTTAAGGTTCCAGACAGTCTTCTGATGGGGAATTCCTCTCTCTTTATATATGTACTGTCTCTCTGCCAGTCTCAGTCACCGAGGGGGCCAAGTGCCAGCAGACCTTCAGACAAGGGTAGAGCTCTAGGTGCCCTGTGAGCTGGGGTCAGGATAGCATCCCCTACATTGTGAAGGGACGGTACCCTTGAGGGTCCCCCACACTCAACGTGAACCATGAACACTGCTGCCCAATGTGAGGCTGTGTCCTCCTCTAGCTGAGGAATCTGTTTCTATTCTGGGTTTTGCTTCTCCCCCTTCAGCGTTGCTGAGGTTCTGAGATGCCTAATACTACTACCAGTTCTCCGAAGCCGAACTCTAGATCTTCTGGTTTTGCCTTCCCTTGACACAGGGATCACAAGGAGAAGACCCCATGTTCCACCACCTGACCGACATGCATCCTTTATACCCATCCTCTTTCACATGGGCTTTATGATGAGCCTTGGTGTCCTCCCAGCAGAGCCCTCATCTTGCCACATATTAGCAGTGACGCAGCTCCCAAGAAGGTTGTGTGTGTGTGCTTACTTGGCTCAGTCATGTCAGACTCTGCGACCCCATGAACTGTAGCCCACCAGGCTCCTCTGTCCATGGAATTCTCTAGGCAGGAAAACTGGAGTGGGTAGCCATTCCCTTCTCCAGGGGATCATGTTAAGTCCACCCAGTCCAAGCTTATCTGCTGACCTAGCTGCTTCTGCTGGGCTCTCTTCCTTTTCAAGCATGCTCGAGTCTCATGAAATACAGTCAGGGACTCACCTGGTGATTACTCCTGAGATGATCTGAAACAGTATGAGCTGTAGAACTGCTGGTGTGTATGAAATGTCCACATACTCGACGAATGCCCACTGCAGGGAAATGAGGTCTCTCCTGGAATAATGAAACAAAATTGAATAATTCTGATGTTTTAAGAAAATTTGCGATTTTTTTTTTTTTTACTACATCCTTATTTCTAAAGCCTGCTCTGGATGTCTCATTTTTGGACAGAATATTTCTTTAGTGGGTCATGCCAGGGATAAATTGAAAATTTTTTAAATTTCTTACCTCATCTTATGAGTGGAGAAGGCAATGGCAACCCACTCCAGTACTCTTGCCTAGAAAATCCCATGGACGGAGGAGCCTGATAGGCTGCAGTCCATGGGGTCGTTAGGAGTCAGACACGACCTGAGCGACTTCACTTTCCCTTTTCACTTTCATGCATTGGAGAAGGAAATGGCAACCTACTCCAGTGTTCTTGCCTGGAGAATCCCAGGGATGGCAGAGCCGTCAGACACAACTGAAGCGACTTGGCGGCAGCAGCATCTTATGAGGTTGTACTGGACAAGGGCATATGTATCTCAGGAGGGGAGCAGAAAGTCACCTATTTTGCAGGGATTTTATGAGACTTGAAGATTAAGGAACTTTCGCTGCTATTCTTACCAGTTTCATGTCTGTTAATGTTTTGTGATCCTCAAAGGCCCAATGTCAGTGAATGCAAAAAATCAGGGTGAGGAGACATGTCCATGCCTTGGGGTAGATTGTTCTTCACTTGCTTCTCACCTATCCTGTCCATCTTTCCCTCCTGATTTCCAGAACACTGAGCACTGTTCTGGAGTTGCAGGAGGGGACTTTATGCTGTTAGAAAGGAGGACAACATGGGCCCCCTGCAAGTGGACAGTCAGGGCATGATGGTTTAACTCCAGACACCCAGAAGGGGTCAGGTCCAGATTTGGATAACTATATATCCACACTAGAGACTCTTATTTTGACAAAACCAAATGAAATTAACTCAGGAGTTATGACCCAACCTTTCCATGAGGCAATCAAAGGAGAGCCTACATCAATAAACACTGCCCCTGTCACCCGTGTGGACATGTTGAATTTTGTTTTTTCCTCTCGAACCACCAGGGACAGCATAGCCAGGTTTAATAACCCAACAGAGCACCAGTCAATGGTTCTCTGCTGAGTGCAGGGGCAGGCTCACCTCCAGCCTGCCGCGCTGATTGTCAGCTGCCTTGTGCTGCAATTCACCCGATCAGAGAACACAGACATACCACTTGTGGGGCGGAGGGACAAAAGACTAGGAAAAGACAGAACCATCTTCGGTGTCTGATGGCCGTCTTTTTCTTAAGTCCGTTCTGCTTTGAGCCTCTGAAGCTTATGCATCTTAGAGAGATCACTCCAAGCCAAAGAGAACAGATTCATAGATCCTCCCATCCTACCCAAGGGCCTGGAACACTGCCCTTAAAATTCACACCACTTAAGAAGCAGGAATGGAACTCAGATTAAAGTCTCGTCACGTTGCTGGGGTGTCCCCAAACTGCCTTTCTATTTTTATAGTCTTGTTTCCTTCTACTCCCCACCCCATGCCAAAAACATGGCTGGTATCTTGACCTTCTAAATGCAAGAAGAGATTTTATAATAAGCTGTGCTATTATGTAAATTGCTGAGCTGGAATTCTTTTTTCTGGGGGTTTGAAAGAGTTGAGTAGATCAGGTAAAAAGAGAAAAGGGGATTTGTGTTTATTTTAATTTTGTTTGATTTTGTTTTGGTTTGGCTAGTTGCATTTTTTGGTAAAAGACCTACTGTAGAACAGCAGAGAGGGATAAATATGTGCTCTGCAGTGTTTCTGAATTAGCTTCTCTTTAGGAATTAATTCCCGTCCAGTTTAATGATGTGATACTTAAGTCAAAAATCTGAGGTTACACAGTACCAAATCTAGCTTCTCCCTCTGGTTTCCTGTTTATCTTCTTTTTCCTTGTAAGTCACCTTTGTCTCTTGTTTCTTTTTCTTTTAGGAACTTAATATGTTATTTAGAATACTGAAAAACTATGAAAACATAGGGAAAGCCCAGGAAATAATAAAATGGATGTAGGATTTTTATAGGACATCTTTAACTAATAAATAGAAAGTTTGTGTCTTTATAAAAAGATTAAAAAAAAACCTTTTAAGGGCATAGTAATTTGGGAAATGAAAATTATTGGGAGTCAAAAATAAAAAATGCTACCCCAGCCTTCTGTAGTAACTTATGCCTTCAGCATAAGTTTTCCCTTATTAGGAAAATTACTAATGCTTGGCTAGTTCATGGATGTGTCAAATGTTTGGAAGTTAATAACTCAGCATTTTAATAAAGCACTTATTCTCTACAAATCAGTTTAGAAAAGTCTTCACTCCCTATATTCCATTTAGTCTTGGCATTGCTCTAAGCATTTTTTTTTTTTTTTAAAGAAACTTCATGTTTAGTGAAACCTCAATCCAGAATTTGCTTTAATTTCACCCTCTATTTTTGCCATCTTCCCCTTCCTCCTTTTCTTAGCTTTCTAATGACAGAAATCCAGACTTCCTTGTTTTTAAAACAGGAGGGCAGCTGAGTATTCTTGCTCAGAGCTTCCCAGTGCCATCTTTGTGGACACTGAGCCAGTCTCAGGTCAGATGCTCACAAGCTAACACGTAGGATCCTCCTGAGACATCTTCTCCTACTCAGCACTGGAAATCTGGACGGAGCTTTCTCTGTGTGTGTGTTCTGAAGTTTGTCAGAGATAAGAATGGATTATTCTCTGTGTTCTGGACCAGGTTCTAGAATGTATACCAGGCAGTACCACTTCCTTCTTGGTTCACTCAGGGCAGGACCCCCCCACCTGCAAGGGGACTAAGTCAAAGCTACCAAATTCAACTTTGACCTTCTCTGGTGACTCAGTTTGCTTTCCAACACTCTAATTTCTCTTAGCGATGGCCTGCATCACACTGAGAACCACCACTCAAAGCAAGTCTATTAGATACCTTGATAAGGGATGAGCAGGAAAAAACACTCCAAAACTTCAAAGTGCCATTAATCAACTTTTAAAAATAAAGGTAACAGGAAATGAGGGCTAAATAATGTAATCTAACTGCCAATTAAAGTCTACTGTAGTCTGGTCTTAGTTACATTTGATATGGAGCTATATAGCGTTAAGCAGATCCCAACAGATTTAGTAACAACATAGGTATTGTATTTTAATGGCTACCAATGGAGATATGTACTTAGCCTGCAGGCCAAACATCAATCAGTGTTTTTCTATCCTGGGGTTTTGTCACCAAGCCAAAATTTATACAAAGCCACCCTAAGTGCTGTTGATTGCAGAGGAACCTCCCTCTTGGTGACATTAGAGAGCTGTCCAGCCAGCTCCACTCAACTGAGTACATGATTTGGAACTCACACATAAAAACAAATGGAGGAGAAAAATCTAAAGCAGTTAGTGTGCAGAGCATCTCATAGCTAGGACTAGTGGGGTAGAGGTGAGGAAAACAAGCTCTATAACAAAGACAAGGTTAAGGTGGGAAACACCAACTGGTCCCAGAAAGAGGAAGGCATGTGACCTGGGATCCTCATTTATGCCAGATCACGGATCAACTCGTTAGCATGGTACTAGAGATGGCTTCTTTCCACTCTAGGTAGTGGATTTAAAGGCCTCGGGGGATTCATATAGCCCTGAAAAAGTTTTTCCGGACTTGGGAGATGGAGAGAAAGGAGGTTCTTGCTTTCAAGCAGCCTGAAGACAATCTCAGTGACTTTAGCTGCTCTTCAATAAAGTAGTGCCAACAGTGGACAGATTTCGTTGTTCCTAGTGGCACAAGTGTCATGGGAGGGGAGATGGAGGAGGGGAGGGGAAAGGGAGGAGGGGCGGTGAGTGGCACAGGAGAGGAGCTTTATCATGATTAAATGTCATACTCCACACGGCACTCTGCTAGTAGCCTCAGAGGATAACGTTGCAAGAAGTGGACAACAGGGTGTCCAGGTCATACCCTCTGTCCTTTGGGATCCAAGGTCAGGACATCCCCCCCTTGGTTTGCTCTTAGAGGATGCGCACATCAGATGGGATCGAGAGGGAACCTGGGTGCTCTGCCTTAGGCTGTTAAAACGCTGCCACCTGTGTTACAACACATGTGAGTGTCAAGGCACTCCAGATGCTTCCTTACAGGCAGCATCCACTGCAGTGCGGCATGCCAGCCTGACTCCCCTTCAGTGACCGTGTGTGACTGGCAGCCAGTGCTGGCCTGCCCACAGTATCGGTGCATCTCACCCAAAGCCGGAGTTCAGCACTGCATGTTGACCAGGAGGATATCCTGTAACATAGATGCTCGTTTGGATCCAAAAGGAAAACCATTAAAAATTAAAGAAAGACAAACAACTTTAATGTTTCTTTGGGGGGGGGGGGGCGTGGTCCAAGAAAATAAATAAAACCTTGTTGTAAAGAATTCATCAGCCTGATTTCCTTCACTCATTCAATATGTTTCTTTGAAGGTGAAGTTGCTCAGTCGTCTCCGACTCTTTGCAACACCAAGGACTGTAACCTACCAGGATCCTCTGTCCATGGGATTTTCCAGGCAAGAGTACTGGAAAATTTCCTTGCCATTTCCTTCTCCAGGGGATCTTCCCAACTTGGGAATCAATCCAGGGTCTCCTGCATTGCAGGCAGACACTTTACCATCTAAGCCACCACGGAAACCATGTGTTTCTTTGCTCCCACTCAAAAAGGAGATCATGGAGTGAAACTTTGCTCTCAGGGATGCTCGGTGGGGCAGGGGATGGGAGTGGCAACAGCTTCCAGACGTGGATGTCTGCTCAGCCCATCAGGTTATGAGGAATTCCAGGGTTTCCCAAAGTTCCAAGGACATCCTGTCCTAGAAAATGTTCTTCTATTATAAATGTTCATCTTAGAAGAAATAAAAAATAACCAGACAAACTAGTTCCCTGAAGCTGAAAAACTTGGTATTTTTCTAATCAGAAAAATCTGCCCATCTCTGGGGGAAGAATTTAAAAACAGGCAGAGGGCTTCTCTGGTGGCTCAGTGGTAAAGAATTTACCTGCCAGTGCAGGAGACACAGGTTTGATTCCTGGTCCAGGAAGATCCCAGATGCCCATGGGGGTAACTAAGCCCATGCACCACAACTACTGTGTTCTAGAACCTGGATACCACAACTACTGAGCCCACATGTCGTGACTACAGAAGCCTGAACACTCTAGAGCCTGTATGCCACAAGAGAAGCCACTGCGCAGGGCTGGTGGCGCAATGAATAACACGTGCGACTACAGATCAGAAGATCAGAAGAGAAGCCACTGCAATGAGAACCCCATGAGGCGCAACTGAAGAGAGTAGTCCTACTCACTGCAACTAGAGAAAAGCCTGTGCAGCAATGAAGACCCAACACAGCCAAATAAAATTACACACACACACACACATATACATACAGCTTAAAAAAGGCAGAGAATCTCTTTATGGAACACAGGGCTTCATGAATAAAACTATAAACAACCTCCCTCCCAAAAGGGCTGCCAAGATCAGGAGGGAGAAGACTCCCCAAGATTTTCAGGAAATGCTGTCCATTTTTCCCTTCCACTCATATCATTTCTCATCTAACCATCATGGCTCCTTTAATAAAAAGAATCAGTCCCTGGGTTCAGTAATCCCTTTGAGTTTCCATGCTGAGAACACCTTTTTGTCTCATTCTCCCCAAAGAACCATCATCATCTCCTACTCCTAGTATTGAGTTTATTATTTTAATCTGAATAATTCTTTTATCAATTAAATAAAATCCAGAATTCTAGGGTAAGCCCCCCATTTTTGCGGTTCCATCAAAAATAAACTCTGAAGCCCTAATAAACATAATTTTGTTAAGTGAGAATTGTTGCACCACATTTTTGGATAGTTTTGACTGTGAGAAAATGGCCTAGGTCCTTGGAGGCTGGATTGGAAATCTCTAAATTCTTTTTCAATTCAAATTTTGTGTGTTTTCTGGTCGCAATATTTTTCCCATGGTTTCCATCACTGTTGGAGCTGGGAAGAGTGAATGTCAGCCACTGTCTTCCTTGCTGCTGCTAAGTCGCTTCTGTCATATCTGACTCTGTGCGACCCCATAGACGGCAGCCCACCAGGCTCCCCTGTCCCTGGGATTCTCCAGGCAAGAACACTGGAGTGGGTTGCCATTTCCTTCTCCAATGCATGAAAGTGAAAAGGGAAAGTGAAGTCGCTCAGCCAGGTCTGACTCTTAGCGACCCCATGGACTGCAGCCCACCAGGCTCCTCCATCCATGGGATGTTCCAGGCAAGAGTACTAGAGTGGGGTGCCATTGCCTTCTCCGGCAGTCTTCCTTATCCACATGCTTTTATGGTGTTACCAGCCGGTGTGTTCAGGAAAAGGGTGGTTTGTAAGGAGTTTCCGCAGGGATCAATAAGGGTTTGTTTGGCTCCCTTCTCATCTAGACCTTAGGTCCATAGTATTTCCAGGATAATAGCACTAGGGAACATATATAAACAAAAGCAGGCACTATTCTGAACTTCTTTCTGGTGCTTCTGTGTTACGATTCTGAGCATTTCTTGATTACCCTAACACATTATCTTTAACCTAAATTTTCTACAATATTAAAAACATGTCTTTACTTGTACACCAAGTTCCTTTGCTGATAAGCTAGGAAAACTCCCAAACCAAATACCAAGATGTCAGTCTGTTAAACACAAAATATTGGGATGAGTCACAGGTGTAGATGACTCTAGAACACCTCAAGGATATGAAGCAGCACAAAGAAGAAAGGCTATAAATGCAGGTGCTGGAGTCAGACCCAACTGAGTTCAAATATGTGCACCACCATTCATGACCTGCGGGTCCTTGAGCAAGCCACTTAACCTGACACTTTCTTCATCTTTAAAATGGAACAGTGAGAACTTCCCAGTGGTCCAGTGGCTAAGACTTCATCTTCCAATGCTGGGGGTGTGAGTTCAATCCCTGGCCAGGGAACTAAAATCCCACATGCCTTCTGACCAAAAATCCAAAACATAAACCAGAAGCAATATTGTAGCACATTCAATAAAGACTTTAAAAATGGTCCACATCAAAAANAAAAAAAAAAAAAAAAAAAAAAAAAAAAGGAAAAATAAAACAACTACCTCATAGGGTGGTTGTATAGACTGGACTAGTTATTGCATATAAAAAGAACAGCCAGGACTTCCCAGGCAGTCTAGTCATTAAGAAACAATGCTTCTAATAAAGGGGGTGTGCAGCCAATCCCTGGTTGGGGAACTCAGACCCCACATACCTTCGTGTTCACCTCCAGCCCAAAAAAGAAAAGGAAGAATAGCCAGGGCCTGCCTGCCCCATAACAGGCATTTGATAAAAGTCTGGGAACACTATCCCTGCCATCACTGTCACATAAAAGCACACTCCCCAACTCCCCTAAACCCAAGAAACTTAACAGTTCAGCGTGTGTGTTAGTCGCTCAGTTGTGTCCAACTCTTTGTGACCCCACAAACTGTAGCCCGCCAGGCTTCTCTGTCTGTGGAATTCTCCAAGCCAGAATACTGGAGTGGGTTGCCATTCCCTTCTCCAGAGGATTTTCTTGACCTAGGGATCAAACCCTGGTCTCCTGCATTGCAGGCAGATTCTTTATCATTTGAGCTACAAGGAAGTCCTACAGAAGAGTATGCCAGGTGGGCGTTCCCCTTCTGTCAGTGAAACACAGAGGACAATCTGATATGTAGACAGCTTTCTAATGAGAAGGGAATAAATTAAGCTTTAAAAAGTAAGCAAATCATTATTATATATCTATTTTTAAATAATGCCTCCATTCTTGTTTGAGAACAAGCCCTAATTTGCTTATTCTTCACTTCTAATTTCCATTTTCATTTAATAACAAAATGGGAGGAACTTTAATGGGAGATAGTAATTGTAAAAGTAGCAATAAAGTAAATGACAGCATTAAAAATTATACATACACAAGAACGTAGCAATATTCAAGGCAATTTGAAATAAGAAGCAACTCACAAATTAATGGTACATGCAAAAAACATCATAGATTCAGGATCAAACAGCCTGATTGTTATTCCATAAAAAGAAAGAAAAAAATCATAAAAGTCCTTTTAAAAAACCATTGCTAGGTGGTCAATAAAAACTATTAGTTCATAAGGCATCAGCTCTGGACAAAAATAAATTGCAATGCTTTGCAGGAATAGAGTACCAAGAAGGCAGAGCAACATGAGTCAACAACTAAGTCCATCCAGGAAGGGGATTCTCATGCCTTAGGGCCTTGTTTCCAAATCTGTGACCTGATGTTTTCAAACTGTGATGCTGGAGAAGATTATTGAGAGCCCACTGGACAGCAGGGAGATCAAACCAATCGATCATAAAGGAAATCAACCCCGAATATTCACTGGAATGATTGAAGCTGAAGCTCCAATACTTTGGCCACCTAATCAAAGAGCCAACTCATTGGAATGGACCCAGATGCTGGGAAAGGTTAAGACAGGAGAAGAAGGGGGCGGCAGAGGGAAAGATGGTTAAACAGCATCATCAACTCAATGGACATGAGTTTGAGCAAACTCTGGGAGATAGTGAAGGACAGGGAAGTCTGGCATACTGCAGTCCATGGGGTCACAGAGAGTCAGACATGACTTGGAGACTAAACAATTTCTTCTGCATGCTGGACCACATATGTACATAAAATATCTATAGCCTCAAGCTGCTGATATTTAAATGATTCAGTAACACATGGAAATCATAGAATCAGAATGTTAACACAGGAAGGAGCTTAGGTGTCAATTCTGGCCCAAGCCAGTTCATACATGAGAGATGTAAGATTTAGAAAAACTATAACATGGGTTTTTCCAGAGATCAAGGAGGTCTCCAGTGAATCTGGACAAACACAGTAGGCTCCAGCCACCCTAGAACAACTTTCAAAAAAGAAGAAAACAGCAGAGAAATACTGAGGAGACCTTCTTGCTCACATGTCCAGAAGACTCCTTTGAGAATCTAATGGAAGCTATGGACTATCTCTTTTGATGAAAGCACAAAAAGTCCGAGTCTTCACATCCCCCAAGCCCACCCAGAGCCTGTTTATAACTCCCCTGTGACAGTCCCAGGAGGTATTAGGGAAAGACCAAGCACAAAACAGAGCTACTTGCATCAAAGGAATTTAAAGAAAGAGCTGTGACATCAAACTATTTGGACCCAGAAATAAAGGATAGAATCCAGGCCCAGTTCCCAGGCATACTGGAAATATTGCTTTCCTCACCCTTGAGACCTGAGATCTGACTGCTTGACTTGGACGGGAGTACGGTGTGGGCTGGGAAAGGTTTGAGAGGGGGAAAGGGTGCCTTTGTAAACACAACTCAATAAACACATTGACACAAAGCAAGAGATCTGGATCCAAATTC